ACGCACGTACCTGCACTTACTCACCACTTCCCAACCCCTCACACCTTTCCCCACCTTCTCACGCACCTGAACTTTCACCAGCACGGGGAACAGCTCCCCGCGGGTATCACAGTGCCACCACTCACCAATATGCGCCACCACCCCCTTGCACCGCTCCCCATCCCCTCGCACGCACCTGCACCTTCACCAACACGGGGAGCAGCTCCCCTTGGGTATCACAGTGCCACCACTCGTCAATCGACGCCTCTCCACGCAGCAGCGGCTGCACGAACCGCATCATCTTATCCGCCGTCCGCTCGACTTCTCTGTCTTCCCTCTCCTCTCCTTCGCCTGGACCCCAGGGCAAAGAAGCAACACTTCACTAACCCAAACCTTCAACCCTCAACTCTGAGCAATGCTGCACGCACCTGCACCTTCACCAGCACGGGGAAAAGCTCCCCTCGGGTATCACAGTGCCACCACTCGTCAATCGACGCCTCTCCCCGCAGCAGCCCCCCTTGAATGCCATAGTGCCACCACCCTCTCTCACTGCACGCACCTGCACCTTCACCAACACGGGGAACAGCTCCCCGCGGGTATCACAGTGCCACCACTCGTCGATCGACGCCTCTCCCCGCAGCAGTGGCTGCACGAATCGCGCCATCTTTTCCGCCGTCCGCTCGCCGCCCGGCTGGACCTCGGGGGAGAAGGCGGCGGCGCTGAGCTTGTGACAGATGGCGGCCTTTGATTGGTGCCCCAGCATGCGCACTGCCGCCTCGTTGCACTCGTGGACCAGCCTGTCGCCACCAATGATAAATATTGGGTCCTGTGTTTGGGGTTAGTAGAACAGAGGAAGGGGAAAGGGAGGGGGTTTTGGTGCCCCAGATACCACCTCTCTGGGTGTTTCAGCATTCTCACTGCTGCCTCGTTGCACTCGTGGACGAGCCTGTCGCCACCAATGATAAATATTGGGTCCTGTGTTTGGGGTTAGTAGAACAGAGGAAGGGGAAAGGGAGGGGGGTTTGGTGCCCCAGATACCACCTCTCTGGGTGTTTCAGCATTCTCACTGCTGCCTCGTTGCACTCGTGGACGAGCCTGTCGCCACCAATGATAAATATTGGGTCCTGTGTTTGGGGTTAGTAGAACAGAGGAAGGGGAAAGGGAGGGGGTTTTGGTGCCCCAGATACCACCTCTCTGGGTGTTTCAGCATTCTCACTGCTGCCTCGTTGCACTCGTGGACGAGCCTGTCGCCACGAATGATAAATATTGGGTCCTGTGTTTGGGGTTAGTAGAACAGAGGAAGGGGAAAGGGAGGGGGGTTTGGTGCCCCAGATACCACCTCTCTGGGTGTTTCAGCATTCTCACTGCTGCCTCGTTGCACTCGTGGACGAGCCTGTCGCCACGAATGATAAATATTGGGTCCTGTGTTTGGGGTTAGTAGAACAGAGGAAGGGGAAAGGGAGGGGGTTTTGGTGCCCCAGATACCACCTCTCTGGGTGTTTCAGCATTCTCACTGCTGCCTCGTTGCACTCGTGGACGAGCCTGTCGCCACCAATGATAAATATTGGGTCCTGTGTTTGGGGTTAGTAGAACAGAGGAAGGGGAAAGGGAGGGGGTTTTGGTGCCCCAGATACCACCTCTCTGGGTGTTTCAGCATTCTCACTGCTGCCTCGTTGCACTCGTGGACCAGCCTGTCGCCACCAATGATAAATATTGGGTCCTGTGTTTGGGGTTAGTAGAACAGAGGAAGGGGAAAGGGAGGGGGTTTTGGTGCCCCAGATACCACCTCTCTGGGTGTTTCAGCATCCGCACTGCCGCCTCGTTGCACTCGTGAACGAGCCTATCTCCACGATCGGTCCTGCGCGTGGGGGTGAGGTGAGTGGGGGAGTTCGGAAGGAGTAGGGTGGTGTGGTGTGGGGTTGTGAGAGAGGAAAGGAAGGGGTTTTGGGGGTCAACCCAAATGTGGGGTTTCAAGATTATGAGGTGGATGAACCTATCACCACCGATTATAAATATCACCACCGATTATGGGGTTTCGAGAAACCTCGGGTCCTGTGCGTGGGGGTCAGGAGGGAGGAAGGTGAGACTCCTTTTGGATTCGACTCAGGGGGGATTGGTGGAGTGGGGTGAAGTGAGGATTTTCAAAGTGAGAGGGTTGCACGCACAGCTGTACTGTACATATACAACAACACTCACCATAGAGATCTCGAATATCCGCTTGAACTTTCCGTTGTACACGCCCTCGCGGATTTTCGCCTCCAGAGCCTTCAGCCTCTCCACTAACGAGTCCAGCTCCTTCTCTATAGCGAGTATAGCTGCAGCAGCTGCAGCCACCGGGGTCTGAGCTGGCAGCTGAGCAGCAGAAAAGCACCCCTCCAAAGCGGCAGAGAGAGATTCCTGGAGGGAATAGAGTGGGCAGCAGAGCAAGGTTTCTAAGGTGTCTCAAAAGCTGGCAGCAGAGCAGCAGAGAAGCACCCCTCCAAAGCGGCAGAGAGAGATTCCTGGAGGGAATAGAGTGGGCAGCAGAGCATCGAGGCTTCTCTGAGACACCAAGTATTCCCTGCGTAGACCCCTTACGTGACATATAGTCTATCCAAAAGCAAAACCTTTACCTGCTTGTCTTTCCACTTGGAGATGTCATGCAGTGTGCAGAGCATAGGGCGGCCACCACTGCCTTGAGCAGAAGCCACCTTGATCGGAGCCAGCCGCACCTCGAACCATCTGAACCGTCCATCTGATCCTATGCTGCCATCAGGATTGCTATGTCTGCTGCTACAGCCGCCGAGGCCGTGCCTGCTGCTACTGCTGCTGCCGCTAGGACTGCTGTTGCTGCTGATGGTGCTCCGAAGCCGGATTTCCAACACAGTAGCTTTGCTGTCCGCGTTAACAGCATGGCTCTGCGCCATATAGCCCTGTAAACAAATCATCGTGAATCAGCTCCATGAACGGAATAGTGCAGCGTGCCTTGAAGACGCGATAGCATGCATCATTGCGGGTGAGTGATGGTGGGCTGACTGACCTGAAACGCGCTCTGGTCGTCATCGTGAATCAGCTCCAGGAACGGACGGTGTAGAAGCTCCAGGTCGCCATCCTGGCCTGGCGACAGCGACTCGCGCATGGCAGCGCTGCACGGAGGTGCACAAGCACGGAAGGTGAAGAATGAAATCATTTCATTATGAGTATCGACTCGCCAAGGCACGGAGTAAACTGATTCTCAGATCGCCAAGGCCAGACGAAAGCGAGTAACAGCATGGCAGCGCTGCATCACAGGCACGGGAGGTGACGCACTGCATTTCGTGTTGGTTTTGCGTCGAGTTTTGAGATGAGTTCGCTAGAGAGCGGCGACTCGCACATGATACTGGCAACGGCTGGCACGCCGGGACGCGACGCGACGCTTTGCATTGCATTTCTCTTATGAACCGCCTCAGTGCCTAGCTCGCCACAGCGTCAAGTTTTTTTACGGATGCGACACGTACTAGTTTGAGACTCCACTCCGTTTAGTATTTTCAGTAATATCTATCATGAATACTCTACCTGTATTCGACGATCAGGCCATCTGCTGAGAGGCAAGCCGCGGGAACATGGTCGCAGAGGGCTTCCGCTAGCAAACCGCATTTTGTGGTTCTATCGATATGATCCATGGCGGAGATTAAAGTCGGAGAAGTAAGAAAGGAGGATGCAAGAACCATAACGCTAATGCAGATGGTATTTTTCACTCAGCTTTTCCTGTACGATGGAGAGTCCCGAACTCCTGACAGGAAGCATTTGGCAGTTACTCAGAAGCATATCACAGGAGTTCCACTTTCTGTTCGGTCCAAAATGTTTGAGTGCGTTGCTGTGCAATTTAGAGCATTCTGTTTTCTTACCGCTTCGAACCGATGCTTAACTGTCTGAACATTCATCGAGCTCGACTGACACCCTCGATGGAACTCCGAGAATCTGATCGAACTGTGCGGAGGAATGCCAGATCACACTAGCCTAACCAAAGGAGCTGATGTGCTATATTATCCACCTGAAACGCTCTGGAACCCAGAGAACCACATTCAGCCGCACTAATGCAGCGGGGTGGGTTCCTTCGGATTTCTTGTGCCGAGTCGAGTCAGTCAATCGAGTGGTGGTGGTGGACTGTGGGAGGTCGCTCGTTGACAAAGAAACAAATCCTGCACCAGTGATATGCAGGATAAAGCAGCGACTGACAAAACCCCCACCTGTGCTAGCGCGGGCAAAGATTTCCGTCTGTTTGCGTGTGAGGGAGTTCTTTCGCACAAATTCTTCAGCTGGTTCGGCAACCCGCTCGCCTCGCCAGCGAGGCATTGTTCCATGAGGCAGAGAGTGGTTGAGAGGGATGCTCAGGCTGGGTACCCTGACCTGGACTTGATCAGTCCTCACCCTGCAATGGCGAAAGTATGTCCTTGAAGCAAGCGAAATCAGTAACACGCTAAATTAGCAAGATTCTCCTCGCATACCGAACCTGATTGCCGAGTCTCCACCGACAGTGCAATCCAGTTGGTTTTCCCACCATTTTTTTATGGGCAATGAAACCCTTTTGGAACGCAACAAACCAAACAAAACCGTAGTTTGTGGGAATTGAAAATAGAACAAACACTTCGTCTGCTCAAACCAGGTACCAATTAGGTCGTATCCCAGGCTCGTGTCAAGAGTGGATGTGTCATGACACTATCTCGGAAAACGCATGGAGCACCAAACCTCCTGGTGTCAGCTGGGGATGGCTCGGGATGTTCGGCCATTGTAGGCAACATTGACACCAACCTGGAGCCGCGCGTGAGCGCGGCTCCACTTGGTGTCAAGCGAATTTCCCGCTTGACATTATCCACTCTTGACACGAACCCGGGATACGACCTTAGTAAAAATCGACGCATCTGGTTCACATTGGTTAGCCGTCGCGCCAAATGCGGGGTGATTAGCACACTGGTAGCGCGAGCGGCCACATACCCCATAGCCTGCGGGTCACATGTATTTATAATCACGATTTACAAATATCTCCGGTGTCCGTGTCAACTATGGGAGGCATTCTCGGCCGGCCGAAGCAGCATCGCGGGGACGGGAAAGTCGTGGCTATAACGGGATGCTCTAAAGGAGGAATTGGTTACGCGCTAGCAGAGTATGCTTGAAATACTTCGTCTCGAGGGGTTATTCGTGTGATTAGTAACCTTAACACGGTGAATTCGACACAAACATCCTCATAGCGGGCCCGCTGTATCAAAATCATTTTCGCTGTCACTCGCATTCCCCTCTCACTCGCATTCCCTCTCACTCGCATTCCCTCTCACTCGCATTCCCTCTCACTCACATTCCCCCTCTCGCCCGCTTTCTCGCTCTCACTCGCGTTTCACCTCACACTCCCCCCTCTCTCTCGCATTCCCCCTCTCGCATTCCCTCTCTCACTCGCATTCTTCTTCTCACTCGCATCCCCCTCTCACTCGCTTTCTTGCTCTCACTCGCATTCCCCCTCTCACTCTCATTCCCCTTCTCACTCGCTTTTTCCCTCGCACTCACCCCTCGCACTCGCATTCCTCCTCTCACTCGCATTCCCCCTCTAGCTCGCATTCCCCTTCTCACTCGCATCCCCCTCTCACTCGCATTCCCCCTCTCACTCGCATTCCCCCTCTCACTCGCATTCCCCCTCTCACTCACATCCCCCCTCTCACTCGCATCCCCTCCTTCATGCGCATTACTCGCATCCCCCCCTTCATGCGCATTCCCCCTCTCACTCGCATCCCCTCCTTCATGCGCATTCCCCCTCTCACTCGCATCCCCTCCTTCACGCGCATTCCCCCTGCCCATCACTTGGAGCAGCGAGTACGCACGGCGGGGCGCCAAGGTGTTTGCCATGGCTTTTCCTTGATGCCCTCTCGTCCGTGTCTCCCCTTGGTTCTGTCTTGATGCCCTTATTCCCCCCAGCCCCCAACTCCCATAGCATATACCTCTCATCGTACCCACCAGCGAGTACACACGGCGGGGCGCCAAGGTGTTTGCCATGGCTTTTCCTTGATGCCCTCTCGTCCGTGTCGCCCCTCAACCCCTCCTCCTCTCCCCCTCCTCCTCTCCCCCTCCTCCTCTCCCCCTCCTCCTCTCCCCCTCCTCCTCTCCCCCTCCTCCTCTCCCCCTCCTCCTCTCCCCCTCCTCCTCTCCCCCTCCTCCTCTCCCCCTCCTCCTCTCCCCCTCCTCCTCTCCCCCTCCTCCTCTCCCCCTCCTCCTCCCCCTCCTCCTCTCCCCTCCTCCTCCCCTCCTCCTCTCCCCTCCTCCTCTCCCCCTCCTCCTCTCCCCCTCCTCCTCTCCCCCTCCTCCTCTCCCCTCCTCCTCTCCCCCTCCTCCTCTCCCCCTCCTCCTCTCCCCCTCCTCCTCTCCCCCTCCTCCTCTCCCCCTCCTCCTCTCCCCCTCGCCGCCCTTCCCCCTTCTCTCTGCCAACACGAGCAGGGAGTATGCGCGGCGGGGTGCCAAGGTGTTTGCGACGGCGCGGCGGGCAGAGGCGATGGAAGGGTTGCAGGAGGATAGCCAAGCTGGCCATGAATTGACTGCAGGAGCAGGGTGTGAGTACAGTGAAGCTGCCATTACCCCCATCGCCCCTCACCACCCCCTTCCTCTCCCTCCCCTCCTCCCCCTTCCTCTCCCCCTCCCCTCCTTTCCCCCCCCGACCAGGGAATACGCGCGGAGGGGTGCCAAGGTGTTTGCGACAGCGCGGCAGGTAGAGGCGTTGGCAGGGTTGCAGGAGCAGGGCGTGAGTACAGTGAAGCTGGATGTGACTAACGAGGATGATATTAAGGTGCGTGTTTTGTTAGGGGGCAGTTAAAAAGCAGTAGTTGGGGCTGCAGGAGCAGGGTATGTGAACAGTGAAGCTGGATGTGACTAACGAGGACGAAATCAAGGTGCATTTGTAACTGTCTTGTTCGTCTCATCCTCTTCGTCCCCCCCAACTGTCCGGTCCTCTCTTTCCTTCCATTCTCCTTCCCCCTTCTCCCATCCTCCCTATTCATCCCCCCTCCACCCCCCTCCTTCTCCCCCTGGCTTCTCCCCCTCCTTCCCCCCCCCGTCCTTGCAGTCTGCAGTCGATGTGATTGTAAAGAGCGCCGGGCAGATCGACATTCTTGTGAACAACGCGGGTGTGCTAATTATGGGGCCTGTCGCGGACCTCCCGCTCTCCTCCTGGCGCCACGGCTTCGAAACCAACCTGCTGGGGGCAGTGGCTATGGCACAGGCCGTGTTTCCCCACATGGCTGAGAGACGGAGCGGGTGCATTGTGAATATATCGAGCATCCTGGGATACCAGGCACTGTGAGTGTAACTGGGGCGTTGGGTATTTTTCTATCGACTGTGACGTAATGAATCTGTTCGGGGCAGTGGCCATGGCAAAGGCTGTGTTTCCCCTTTTCTTCACATAGAGGCGAGTGTTGAGGCACCTTGGATCTCAGTCGCGGACCTCCCTCTCTCCTCCTGGCGCCACGGCTTCGAAACCAACCTGCTGGGGGCAGTGGCCATGGCACAGGCTGTGTTCCCCCACATGGCTGAGAGACGGAGCAGGTGCATTGTGAATCTATTGAGCATCCTGGGGTAACAGGCATTGTGAGTATCAAGGGGGTTTTGGGGCTTTCTTTAAGGATAAATGGTGACATACTGACTATGCTCGGGGCAGTGGGCGTGGCGAAGGCTGTGCTCCCTCCCCCACATGGCTGAGAGGCGGAGCGGGTGCATTGTGAATGTATCGAGCATCCTGGGGTACCAGGCATTGTGAGTAAAAAGGGTCTTCGATAGTAAAAATGTTTTCCATAGACTGAAAAAAAAAAAAAAAAAAAAGTGTTCCCTGCTTCGCTTGTTACCAATGTCGCTCACAGGCCCATGGGGGCTGTGTATTCTGCGTCCAAGGCGGCACTAACTCCAGCAACCAACTGAATGCGCATGGGCATGAACCACCTCTCGTCTCCACTACTCTTCCCCCCCTCCCCATCTTTACCTCCCCTGCCCCTGTACCCTCACCGCATGCTCCATCTCAGGCCCATGGGCGCTGTGTATTCAGCATCCAAGGCAGCGTTCACAGCAGCGACCAACTGCATGCGCATGGAGATGAAGCCGTTCCCTCTGCCCCCCCTTGCCTCTCCCACATTTCTCAATCACAGGCCCATGGGCGCTGTGTATTCAGCATCCAAGGCAGCGTTCACAGCAGCGTCAAACTGCATGCGCATGGAGATGAAACCGTTCGGAATAAAGGTTGTGCTTGCGACTCCTGGGCTTATTAAGACTGAGCTTTTCGGGTGAGTGGGGTGGAACAATTTACAGTACTTTCAGCAAATTGACCAACATTTCTGCATCAAAATACTCGTTCGCAAGCTTCGGTAATGATGCCATCATCCTCTTTTCTCTCTGCTTGCAGAAAATCCCCTCAGATTTCTGTCCAGTTGCCGCCCACCAGCCTCTACGCTCCCTGCCAAGCCAACATTGACAAAATGACTAACCTGCCCCATACAACGGCCATGACTCCCCCTTCCCAACTCGCTTCTCTCATCGCAAACGCTTCACTTTCCCCCAACCCTCCCTGGCGCCTCTTTGCCGGAGAACTCTGGCCCACTGTGATGGCGATGGTGTGGTTTGCTCCGGTTTGGGTCACCGACTGGGTTTATTGGAGCACGGGATATGGAAAGCTTTTAGCAAAAGCTGAGAAGAGGATTGCTGGTGACGTGGGGGAGAGGAAGCAGAAGTAAAGATGTGGGGATGTTAACAGTGTGTCATGCAAAAGGTGTTTTCTGGTGGGAACTTCTCCATTCTATTTATTACCATTGCATATTCCGACATTATTTACATTGGAGGTACCGTAGGTTGCGGGACACTTCATTCCACTTCTGTACAAATTATTTTCTCAAGTGTTCTTACAAACGCTCTATTGTCCAAACACGACCCCACGTTCTGCTGGCCACTATTGGCCATTGCTTTCATCCCATGATTGGCCTGAAGCTTCCTGAAAGTTCACGTGGCAAAACAGGATTCCCTGCAACTTCCACCTGGACCTTCATGTTCACAACCTTGGCTGTTGATTCGCGAACGACACAACATGGAATTCCTTAGCTCGCGCATTGGCTGAGAAAAGTTGGTCAGGACTTGGTTGGGTTGGGGGGACCTTGAAAAAGTTGAGAGATCTGCGGATACGTGAAAATGTGAGGAATATCGACGGTGAGAAGCCACGACGTTTTGCATCTGACGAGAGCGACATAATCAACAACCCCACGAACGACGGGCAGCCGCAAAAGGTTATCCAACCACAAAACTCCAACTCCAAGGAGCGCTGGCGGCAGGCTCGTCATTCCGCTGCGCTCCCTGCGACAGCCAGCTTGGGATTGGGTCTGTATGGTCACTCTGCTCGCCACACCAGCCAACCGCCACCCTGCACCCAACCACAACACCACCCTGCACCCACCCATAACCACCACGCCGCATGACGAATAATGGCTTCACGGGAACGCATGCATGTGATAGGCCGAGACCGTTCTCGGTTCGGCAGTTTTGGCAGGTCTGTTTGGTATGGAGCCGCGGTGCCTTCGCAAGTTATGGATCATCGTTGTTGATTGACACCAACGACAACCAGTTACAACCCACTTCACCGAATATTAACGTATCCAAACTCTACGTATCCCGTTAATCGCGAATCCATCGCTGAAACTCTCATCTGTGCATGGAAAGGAGTTCTGCAGCTGACTTCCCTAGGGAAGTACCTGTGGACAAAGCTCAAAAGCTGGGACTCTATTTGGAGCTCTAAAACTAATATCCTGGACGCTCTTTGTTCGTTTTGTTTCCACACTTTCAGAGCTTATATGTGCAGGTACTGAGACCGAAGGCAATCTGTGTTTCTGATAGGCCAGCGTTTTAGTTGTTTATGAAACACAGACCGAAGGCGATCTGTGTTTCTGATAGGCCAGTGTTTCTAAGAAAAAACCATGAATTCCAAAACGCCTCTGTTCCACACTTGGGCAGTAGGCCTCTGCTGCTTGATATCTCTTCACCACTGGCATGCCACGTGTCTCGCATCAGACTCGCTTCAAATTGAACCTCCTAGAATAGCCGGTCCGAGCACTAAGGTGCTAGAGAGAGTAGCGACCGTGGCTTCAACAATCGATGTTCCTCTGCTTGACGTTCCAGCGTCTGTCGTTGACGTAAACGCATCACCGATTGTTCTCCCCGTGAATTTAACTCATCTTCCCGAAATCTCGGAGCGGTACAAACTTTCAAGCCATGGTACGCCGTGTCTGTCACATGCATCTCCGTTCTCTGTGCGTACCGTTCTCCACCACGCCCGACCCGGCCTCACTCCGTTTGTGTGCCATCCGTTTCCGTGCAAATCCCGAACGACTCGTTGGACTCAAACGGTACCTGTGTTCCCTCGCAGTACCTGTTCCCTCACATCCTTGTTCCGTTTTTTTCCATCCCGTGTCCGTTCTCTTTACCGAATTCGCAGCAACTGACAACGAGACTCTGATCGACGGTCAGCTGGCGTCGCGCTCAACGGACGAGGAGCCGCTGGTCGAATCGCGGCTGGCGTGCGGCGACGCAGTGGCAGCGGAAGTCGCGGAGGCGATACTGAAGGACGAGGTCGTTCGCAGGCTGGATGAGCTGGGAAACGTGAGCATACCACCACTGCACCATTAGCACTACGTCTCGTCACCCTTGCTGTTGAATTTTGTAACGTTTCAAGGTAGCGGAAGGTGCGGATGCGATGTTGAAGGAAGAGGTGGTCCGCAGGCTTTCCTGGCGGTTGAATGCGGTTGAAAGCGGTCTATTTCGTTCCCGTTTCCATGCTGCAGGTCAGCGACTCGGCGCATTACTTGCAGCGCACGTTTCTCAGCGACGCGTCGATGCGCGCCGCGGCGCTCGTCAGCGATTGGATGGAGGAGGCCGGCATGTACACGTGGATGGACGCGGTTGGCAACGTGCACGGCCGCGTCGACGGACCGCACCCCGACGCGCCCGTGCTGTTGCTCGGCTCGCATCTGGTAAGGCCGCATCGGGGTAAGCCGCATGGCGTGGTGTTAGACGCACAAGGGTGGGTGGCACCGGGCTGTTCGTCGCTCCACCTTCGCATTACCACCACTCCCTTTCCACACCCCCCTTTCCCTCTCTTGCTTCCCTTCCCGTGCTCTCTCCTCTTCGTCCCCGTTTCTCTGTGCCATTCCGTGCGCTTTCCCCCTCCTCCCAGGACACGGTGGTGGACGCGGGTCGGTTCGATGGCGCACTGGGCGTGGTCACAGCCATCGCCGCTGTCAAGCTCTTCCTCACAGCTTGCGGATCGATGGCGCTAAAACACTCCTTCCCTCCACTCTGGTCCTCCCAGGACACGGTGGTGGACGCCGGTCGCTTCGACGGGGCACTGGGCGTGGTCACGGCCATCGCAGCAGTCAAGCTCTTCCTCACAGCTTGCGGATCAGCGGCGCTGCCTCGCCCCGTGGAGATCATCGCGTTCAGCGATGAGGAGGGCATGCGATTCCAGTCAACGTTCCTGGGCAGCAGGGCGATTGCAGGGAGCCTCTCAGCTGAGATGCTGCAGATGAAGGACCGCGAGTGAGTGATGGTGTGGTGATGTTGGGGCAACTGTGGGGCTGGTGAGTGCAGGTAGTGGCATTCAGCGACGAGGAGGGCATGCGAGTCCAGTCCACGTTCCTGGGGAGCAGGGCTGTTGCAGGGACTCTCCCGGCTGATATGCAGCAGATGAAGGATCGCGAGTGAGTGTGTACATTGTTGATGTGGCAAGGGGGTGGGTAGGTGAGTGCAGGCGGTGGCGGCGCTGCCTCGCCCTGAGGAGGTGGTGGCGTTCAGCGACGAGGAGGGCATGCAATTCCAGTCCACGTTTCTTAGCAGCAGAGCCGTCGCAGGGACGCTCTCGCCTGCAATGCTGCAGATGACGGACAGCCAGTGAGTGTTCGAGGGGACATGCGGGCAGGTGAGGGCAGGTGAAGGCAGGTGACTGGAGATGCGGGCAGGTGAGAGCAGGTGAAGGCAGGTGAAGGGAGATGCGGGCAGTTGAGGGGTGATGGGCCAAAGGTGAATCATCGTAGTCTTCCCAACCAATTTGTTATTCCATGCGCTTTCTCCTCTATTGTCCCGTTCAGTGGTGTGACTATACAAGAGGCTATTGCGTCGCTTCCAGCAACAGCAACACCAACAACAAGAACATCCGCAGCAGGAAAACGAGCAGCAGCAGCACCAGCAACACCAGCAGACGGGCCAGCAGACGTGCGTACAGCTCGCTACCTCCCTGAGAACGTATGGGGCTACGTGGAAGCACACTTAGAGCAAGGCCCCGTGCTGGAATCCCTAGGGAAGCCGCTGGGGGTGGTGCTGGGGATAGCAGGGCAGACGCGGGCGGAGGTGACTATAGAGGGCGAGCAGGGGCACGCGGGGACGGTGCCTATGCGGCTGAGGAGGGACGCTGTGGCTGGCGCTGCTGCTGCTGTGGTGGCTGTAGAGTCTGTTTGCTTGGGAATGCTGAGAGAGGAGGAGGAGGAGCAGGAGGAGCAGGAGGAGGGGGAGGAGGAGGAGGGTTTGGGAGGGAGATGCTGGAGTGGTGGTAACAGCAGCAGCAGCAGCAGCAGCGGCAGAAGCAGCAGCAGCAGCAGTGGGAGTGAGGGAGGGAGTGGGGCAGCAAGTGGGGCAGGCAGTGGGTTGGTGTGCACGGTGGGGAAGGTGGTGGCATGGCCGGGGGAGAGCAACGTGATAGCAGGCAGAGTGACTTTCACTCTGGACGTGCGGGCGCGGAGCAACAGCGTGAGGCACGCTGCTGTAGCGGGGATTGAGAGGGAGATTCGGCGGATCTGCAGCGATCGAGGGCTGTCGTGCAGGTTCGCAGTGAAGGTGGGTTCTGTGAGGAGAAGTACGGTGGGACGTTGGGGTGGGTAGTGGTGTGTAGTAGTGGCGTTCACTCTGAACGTGCGGGCACGGGGCAACCATGTGAGGCACGCTGCTGCTGTGGGTGGCATAGACAGGGAGATTCGGCGGATCTGCAGCGATTGAAGGCTGTCTTTCCGGTCCATGGTGAAGGTGGGTTTGATGAGCAGGATAGCTGGGGTGGGGTAGAGATCGGGATAGGAGCGAGAGGGTGCAGTTAATCCCGTCGGATGAGGCAGGGAGCCTTGCCTGTCAAACCGTTTGGTTACTCCTTTCCCTTCCTCCCTTTGCGTTCTCCTGTTTCCCTCTCTCCAGCATCAAGCTGACACGGTGGACTGCTCGCCTCCCCTCGTCTCCCCTCGTCTCCATGCTTCAGATGAGGAAGAGAGCTGTGCCCGTCAAACCCCTCACTTGTCCCCTTCCCTTCTTCTCTCTCCCTTCGTCTCTCTCCCTCTCTCCTCAGCATCAAGCCGACACGGTGGACTGCTCGCCTCCCCTCGTCTCCGTGCTTCACCAGGCAGCACTCCTTGCCGTCACTGCGTCACACCCCACCTCAATAGCCTCTGCTGCTGGCCCTGATGCTGCTCCTGCGAATGACGCTGCTGCTGCAGCTAGAGCTGCTAGAGGGTTCCAATGTGCCGCAACTGGCAGCAGTGGTGGTGGCAGTCAAAACAGTTGTGAAGTGACTGATGGGTGCACGAGGGGCGAGGGTGGGGCGCAAGGGCGGCAAGAGGAGCAAGGGCGGCAAGAGGAGCAAGGGCGGCAAGAGGAGCAAGGGCGGCAAGGGGAGGAAGGATGGCGAAGTCAGCAAGGGCGGCAATGGCAACAGGTTCCTCAACTTGTCAGCGGGGCGGGACATGATGCCATGGCAATGGCAGATCTCACCCAGGTGAGGAATGGTGATGATGGGTGGTGAGGGGTGTGTGAAGGTTAGGGTGGTGTGTCCTGCTCCGGAACGAGGTGGGGGGCGGGGTTTTGTTGGGGGAGGGGGAGAGAGGGAGTTACGGCGTGATGCAGGACTCACTTGCGTGAGGGTGCTGATGCAGCGAGGAGAGTCGTTGTGAGGGTGCTGATGCAGCGAGGAGAGTCGTTGTGAGGGTGCTGATGCAGCGAGGAGAGTCGTTGTGAGGGTGCTGCTGCAGCCAGGTGTGTTGTTCCAATGCATGAAGGTGCGAGTATGGGACATGCTGGCGTGGCCATGGCAGGTATTGCTTTGTGAAAGGTGTAGCTGTTGTCTTCTTTAGACTCGTGCTACCCATATTGTGAATACCCATGACCATGTAACGCTTACTGTCTGATCAGTCGGCCACCATACACTGTTCCGGGCTCCATTGTTTTTCTCTTATGTTGGTATTTCTTGGGTGTGGGATGCTTGTTGGGTGCAGGTTGCGATGCTGTTTGTGCGATGTCGAGGGGGTGTGAGTCATCGCCCGGATGAGTTTGTTTCCCCACACGACCTCCACATGGCGTCTTCTGCTATCTTTAGATTGCTTTTATTAATGCCTTCAGTGCAGTCATTGTGAAACCTCAGATCTTACGTGCAATGTATATAAGCTTATAGTACACATATATTGTTGATAATCCTTCACTCTCTGTAAAGCCTATGGCTCGGAACTGCAGCGCACACGTCACATAACTTGCAATTATGTGTATTACACACGGTACAATGGAGTCAATGTAGTATGGTAGGTATTCATCTACCCACCTTGCAATAACCCTTCAGTCAAGAGTGCTGGAATTGGCAGGCATGGAGAGCTGAAGACAATGTGCATAGCTAATGACTGGGTTCCAGACTGGAAAGGTATCAATATGGTACCCTGTTATAAGACTAGGACAGAATACAATATTCAGTAGTGTGGGCACTCAATACTGCATCTATTACAGGTGGGTGGTTGGGCAGACTGCAGCTCCCATTCTGTCTGCACGTGACGGGGAGTATGGGATTTTTTTCAGCGACAATTTTGATAGAGTCATAAAGTTTCAGAATATCGGAGGTGGATACCCGAAGGGGTGTTTGGGGCGGACACCAGCATCTGGCTTGAATGAAGTAGATTGCCTCTCTTTAAAATTTCGGAGCTAATAGCTCGCAATTGTCAACGTCGTGCCTCGAGTGGTGGACCAGGGCACACTCGCCCCATCCATCTCCACCACCCCCTGTAAGGCCGTGTGACCGACTCGTGCACTCACACGGGCAGATTTGGGCCGAGCTTGCATTGCATGGTTCCAGTCCCCGTCAGGAATTTGGGCGTTCCTGGTTCGAACGGAACGATTGGGTCTATTGGACGCGGGTGCGTGGAACGGGTTTCCTGGAAACCAGAACCACAACAACTTTTCAGGATTGACAAAAAACAACAACTTTTCGGGATTGACTGCAATGTTCCTTCATCAAACATTGCGGTAGGATTGCACCAATGGCGCACTTCAGTGTGCTGTCGTTATTTCGCCATTCTATCAATATGGAGAAAACTGTGAATTATTCTTCTTCACAAAGCCCCCATAGTTACAGCATCCGTGATTGAACAGCACCCAAGGCGGCGAGAACCCAAGGAAGCATTTTCAGCAGGTTGTTTTCTCAGCTCGTAATTCCCTCACTCAGCAAAAGCGTACGCTGTGTAGTTATGATTTATGCCCACCGTAACAAGGGTGGATGCTGCTCTTCTCTGCAACATTTCTCCATGCAGCTGCACTGTACGGTGCTGTAGCTGATGATGTTGTTGCGGGTTTGCCGGAAGCCTGAGATGGTGGTTGGTTGGGTTCCCTCCACCATGCACAGCTCACCACAGATGACCCGCGTCTCCCCTCCCCCGACCGAGCTCCCCAAAAATACCTCCCCCCTGACCTACAGTCCGCTGGCTCCCCCGCCACCCACTCATCCAGTCCCGCCCCTGTCTGTCCGCCCTCCCGTAATCAGCATTTTCTGCCACTTCGTTCCACCACAGGGCCACGGTACTGTAGTGCCGCTTCAGCCCAGACGATTTGTGCGTCGTAAAAAGTACCTTCTACACCTGTTAGGCAGCGAAAACATTGCCCCCATAAATGGGAGCCCGACTCTACAAAGGCCTGTTGCGAGGTGAGGGGAGGAAACGAGAGAATGACAGGTCTCGTACAGTCTCAAAAACCTAAGGGCGCATTCGTGGCCCTTGTCAGACTTCAGGTCAAAAGCCCTTAGTCTCCAATTTGGCTCATCCGAACTCGGATTCGCCTCACAAACGAGCCACTTCGGGTCTTCCGAGCCTCCACTTCGGGTCTGACCTGATGTCTGACACGGGCTACGAATGCACCCTAATTTGCTCTGCAAGGGGAGCCCCAGCGAGTTTCGAATGCATGGGCTGGCAAAAACACGAAGGAGGGTTTAAAACTATCCCCCTGAATGACGAGAACTATGTACTGCTAGTTTAGCAAGATGTAGTTTCGAATTCCGGGCAGCACACTCCTCAAGTGTCCAGGACAGCTGGAGTGGGAACACCAAAGCGGGTACACCAAGGTGTATTCCCCCCTCACACCTGACCTCGAGTGTCCAGGTCAGTGTCAGCTGACCCCGATTTTAATTAAGACTTGACACCGAATCCTATTTTACTGATGAACATGCGTAATTATTTATGACAGGTGTAAGGAAAGCCGTTTTCACGGCTTCATCCCTTCCACTAACTTTCTGTTTCTCTCTCGCCCTTTTCTGCCCGAACCACTTTCCAGCAGCACTCTTCCGCCAGCTCCCTTTCCGCCAGCTCTCTTTCCGCCAGCTCCTTTTCCGCCAGCTCTCTTTCCGCCGGCTCCCTTTCCGCCACCTTCCTTCTCCTGGCTCAACTCCACACAACACACCACCATTTTCGCCTCTCCATGAAAGTAAAATCGAGGTGATGCTGATTCCAGGATCTTGGGTCTGATTCTTTCCTCAGCTCTCTTCATTTTCTCCTCCCAGTTTCTCTCTTGTTCCTAGATCTTGCCAACTTTATTCTCATTCCATCCTGTCTTTTCTCGACCATCGTCGATTTCCGCCATTGCAGTCCCATCCATCCCACACGAAGATCGTATGGTCTTGGTTGTTCCTCTCCCAACGACCCAAGCAACCAATTGGCTTCTCTGCATTCTCTTTTCCGCTCTGTAGGCAGGGGTTTCCGTCCTGATGCGATGTGATTTCGTTATCCGCATGCTGTAGGCTGCTGGGATGTAATATTCCTCGTTAGGCTGCTAGAAGGTTGGATTTCCGCATCCATATCTCTCCCTCACCAAACTTCCTGCACACGAGACGAGAATCGTTACCTTGCAGTGTAGGGTAGGGACCCTCGAGATAAGATTGGCGAACTTCAATTGAGTTGCATGCCGCTTCAGTCTAAGAATTGGTTCTAGCTTGAAATACCAGATTCGGGACTGCGCGTGTGCTTGTGCGTGGCTTGAATGGGCGATGCACACGCCACGTTAGTCCCAGTGTGACTAGACCTTCTAGGATCCACGTAAAGCCGTATGATTCTGGATTGAACCCGAACGGGGCTTGAAGCTTAGCTGGTAACATTGGACGTAATAGTTTTTTTTCCTAAGGATCCAGCATTCAGCATGAAGGCGACTCAGATCTAGTTGACATTGAATAGTCACTATTCGTCGACTAAGAGTGGAGTAGCCAACAATGGGTAACAACGACATTCATCGGTTTATCAAGGAATCGTTAGGGGTCGCACAGCTGGTATTATCGGCGTCCGATTTTCGAGTCGTCGCTGCGAGCAAAGCCGCTGTCGCGCTTTTAGGAACCTGCTGCGAAGCTCATCTTTACGACCATCAAATCTCCGCACTTTTCACTCCCGACTCCCCGTCGCTTGGAACCATCAAGCCGTGTACTATTCCCGCCAAAACCTTTAGTGAGGTCCATATCGATTGGTGTAAGGCGCTTGCTTCATTGTCGCGAAAAAAAGGCGAGCTATTAACTCTCGAAGGTGGTCTTAGTTGTCTCAGTCAGCGGCAACCTCGCGATGGAAGCGCGTTTAATGCTACCACTGTTCACGGAAAAGGGGGCATGGAATGCTGCAGGCATTGCGGAAAGCTGGTCCGCGGTTCAAGGAAACATAATAGACTAGCGGTTGACACCGGTTTAAATGCTTCCGAAGACGGGGAGGACCAGGCGGGAAATCTCCCGCGCTTAATCTCCCCTTGTGACGGCGAGACGGCGGCGGGCGCACGCCGTGTCCCTACTCGAATCGCACATTTCTCTACTGCTGTGTCGCAAGATGCGCTACGCGATTCACATCCGGCAAACCGATCGGAACCGACAGCCACCGAAGCTGGCGGAAACGCCGCGCGGCCGCTGTCGTCTGAGCAGCTTTCTTCTAGGGAACTTCAAAGTCCGCTCTGCAAAGGCACCCCAAATGGACCGAAGAAGCCACGTCCGCCGAAGTTTCCGGGTGTGGAACAGAGATCCGGGCGGAAAACGGACGATGGGCGGGTTTCCGCGTCGATTAATTTCCAGTGGTTTCAAGATGATTCGGAGGAGGGGCAAGGGTCCGTGGTCGCGACAATAACGAGAAATTCACACCGGGATGATGAAATGGTGTGGCACTTCACTCCTCTCCTGCCGCTTTTGCTTTTGCCTCATTTGCTTCACTTTTCTCACAAACGCTCCTTGCCCAACATAGATTTTTGTATGCAATATCTTCATTCATCCGTTGCTTCTTCTGTCGTTTTCTCTTTTATTCGCCAGCAGTCATCAACTATTGTTTGCAAGGGTGCTGCTCTGATCACCTATGCTTAACTTGGTTGTATGCTTGCAGCAATTTCTACCTCTCAGAAGAATCATATTGCAACTTTTTCTACTTCCCTCCACCATCACAACGACTCTCTCTCTCTCTTCCCTTTCCCCGCACCATTGTCCTTTCTTCCGAGCCAAAATCACCCACAGAAACCCTCAATATCCAGTCCTCCTGTCCCAACCTCTTGTCGCTCCCACTCCCCTTCCAGAAGCTTCTATTCAAGCTGCTTCTACAGCTCGTGCGCTGCGCCAGTGCTCTGGACTCCGAACCAAACTACCCGCACAAACCCTCAATCCGCCCTCCTGTCCCACCGTCTTGTCGTTCCCCCCCCTCCCCACTCCCCTTCCCCCCCTTCCAGAAGCTTTTATTCAAACTGCTTCTACAGCTCGTGCGCTGCGCCAGCGCTCTGGATTCCGAACCAAACGACCCGGAGAAACTCTCTCCTACTTTAGACTCCCAGCAGCAGCAGGAGGAGAAGGAGAAGGAGAAAAGCTTAGAAATCAAAACCCTGATCCCGGAGCACCTAAGCCCAGACGTATGCGGGAAGGACCAGGGTCTTTTTCGTGGTGCAGCGTTGGAGGAAGTGGTGGACTCCGGTTTAAATGTCCTGAGCCATCTGGACAACCACGGATCATCACCCGGACACGTGCACAACCTCCATGTGGACGAGGCCCACGTGGGCAGTGGTGTCGTGGACGCAAAACGGGTGGAAAAGGGGAGTTGTGCTTCTACTGGTGCTACTGGTGACGGGCTAACAGCTGCTGGGGTCGCTACCACCGCGGCTGTTGACGCAACTGCTAACACAACCGCTAAAGCACCAGCCGATGCAGCTGCTGCAACTGCAGCTGTTGATGTAACGTCTCCCAATGCGGTTGCCGGCACAGCTGTCAGATCGCCTTCCAATGCAGATGCAGCTGGTTCGAAGCCGACTTGTGCGGTAGCTAAGCCGGTGGAGGAGCAGGTTTTGGAGTGGTCGTACAGAGCAGCGAGTCTGCTTTTAAGGAAGTACAAGGAGCTGGAGCTGTTCAAGAAGATGGTGCAGAAATCAGCGGTGAGTGGGTGACGGGAGTGTTTGAGAAACACCCTTCAGAAAGAGGGTGTTTTTGTAGATGAATCAGACGTACAAGGAGCTGGAGCTATCCAAGAGCACCAGTCAACGGTGGCTGAGAAAGAGCCCTCTACGTTTTCATCGAAACTTATTAAACCAAACGGCGTGTTTTTTTCCAAGGATTTTCCACCACCCTGCTCCTCCTTCATACCTGCAGGACCGGGTGGTGATCTACACCTACAACATGGATCACATTCTTCCCGAGTGCAACCCCGCTACTCTGTGACTCGGTAGTCCCTTTCTTTCAAAGCCAATCCTCCCCGCCCTCTCCTTCCCCTCCTTCTTCGCCCACCCCCGCCCTCCTCCTTCATACCTGCAGGACCGGGTGGTGATCTACACCTACAACATGGATCACATTCTTCCCGAATGCAACCCCGCTACTCTGTGACTCGGTAGTCCCTTTCTTTCAAAGCCAATCCTCCCCGCCCTCTCCTTCCCCTCCTTCTTCGCCCACCCCCGCCCTCCTCCTTCATACCTGCAGGACCGGGTGGTGATCTACACCTACAACATGGATCACATTCTTCTCGAGTGCAACCCTCTGGCCTGCGACCGAATGATGATCCCCCCACCCCTGCCCCCCCACCCCACTGCTCCTCCCCCCTTACCCACAGGACCCAGTGTTGATCTACAACCTGGACCACATCCTCCTCGAGTGCAACCTCTCTGCCCTACGACCTCAGTCACCATGTTCCAAAGCCGTTCCCTCACCTTCCCTTCCCTCTCCTTCTCTTCTTCTCCCTTACCCACAGGACCCGGTGTTGATCTACAACTTGGACCACATCCTCCTCGAGTGCAACCTCTCCGCCCTACGCACCCTCAAATACCCCTCCAAGGCCGCTCTCTCCCACGCCATGGCCACCCCAGGCTACTCCAACCCGCTCTCTCCAATACGGCAGCCCGACGGGCAACTCTCGGAAGTTCTCGCGCTGGAAATCGGCAGACAGACGGTGGAAAAGGGGCAGTTGGTCGTGAACTGGGTGCATCTGGCGCGGGATGGGACGGAGGTGCCTGTGAGGATTCACGTGCAGTGCGTGGCGGTTGGGGAAGATAAGTTTTTTGTGGCGAACTGGCATGATCTGACGGAGATCAAGCGGCAGGAGGAGGTGCTGAGGAAGGCGAAAGAGGCCGCAGAGGCTGCGAGCGAGGCGAAGAGCCTGTTTCTGGCGAATATGAGCCACGAGATCCGCACGCCCATGAATGGTGAGTGCGAGCTCGTTCGTTCCGTGCACCGTGTGTGAGCGTGTGTGAGCGCGTGTTTGGAAGTGGCGGATCTGCTGCTCTGCATGCCTCTCACAGTAGAGCAGCGCTCTAGATCATCCGGTCCTCCTCATCCGCACTCCATCTCTCATTCTATTCACATGCTTCCAGGTGTGCTGGGAGTGGCGGATCTGCTGCTCCGCACGCCCCTCACAGTGGAGCAGCGCTCCTACCTCGAGATCATCCGGTCGTCGGGAGACAATCTGCTGCGGATCATATCCGACGTGCTGGATCTCTCCAAGATCGAATCGCAATCCCTGGGTCTGGAGAGCGTGGCCTACTGCCTCGAGACGTGTATCAACGAGGCTACGGCGCTGCTCTGTGTTGCTGCCTCGGAAAAAGGATTGCTGGTGGGTTGTAAGGGTTGCTGGTAGTTTCTGGACTGGCTTGTGGTGAGATTGTGTTGTTGGGTTGTTGACGGGTGGCATGAGTTGTTGGCATGTGGTGCACCGGATGCTGGTGGTATGTGGTGGGTGCGGGACTCTCTCCTTTGGGACTGAAGAAAGTTTTTCCGTCAGTCTCGAAACGTGTTCTCATTCTGCTCCTTGCTTTTCTTTGTGATCGATCTCGCAGTTGGAGAGCCGTGTGGCTCCCGATGTGCCGCGCTATGTGAGAGGCGATCCGGGGCGGTTGAGGCAGATCATTCTCAACCTCGTCTCCAACTCCATCAAGTTCACTCAGAGGTGAGCCTGCTTTGGAGGTGCTTTTTGAGAAAATTCTGTTGTTGCAGATGATTTTGGAGATTTTTCAAAAATTACCTCAGAGGTGCGCCTGCTTTGGCACATGTTAGCAGATCTTTCTTTAGTCGTCAGGACAATATGAATTCTTAGTCGAATCAAAACTCGCCCTCCGCCTCCCGTTGCCCCCTCTCTCCCACCAGTGGTGGCATCCAGATTGTAATCCGCCGCGCTACAGAGGACGAGGTCGCGCGCGTGCGCAAGACTAGAGGTCAAAGTGACTTCTAAGTCCGCTAAATAAACCACTCCCCTTCTTCGCCCTCCCCTCCCACTCACCAGTGGCGGCATCCAGATTGTAATCCGCCGCGCTACAGAGGACGAGGTCACCCGCGTACGCAAGACTAGGGCTGCTACTGCCGCCTCTGCTGCAGGAGAGGGCGCGGACGCAGCTGCAGGAGAGGAAGGAGGCGTAGGGGGAGGAGGAGGAGCAAAGGGAGAGAGGGAGACGGGGGGGCCAACAGCGGAAGCAGCAGCAGGAGCAGCAGCGGGAACAGCAGTAGGAGCAGCAGCGGGCGCAGCAGTAGGAGCAGCAGCAGGAGCAGCGGTAGCAGCAGCAGCGGGAGCAGCAGTAGCAGCAGCAGCGGGCGGAGCGAGAGGAGGAAAGGGTATAGTGGATGCTGGGGGTACTAGGAAGGCTGATCCTGGTGGGGTTGAGGAGGAGCCTAGCGCGAAACGCAGGCGCATAGATGGGGTAGCAGGGGCGGGGGAGAGGGGGAACGGGGGAGCGGCGGCGGGGGAGAAGGGGGAAGACGCAGCAGGGGCAGCAGGGGAGGGTATGGCGCGAAAAGAGGACGGGCGGAGAGGGGGAGGGAGTGGAGAGGGGGACAGAGGGGGCGAGGGGAGGGGAGAGGAGAGAAGGCGGAAGGGGAGAGGGGAGGAGACGGAGGGTGACTCAGAAGACGCAGAGTTTGGAGAGAGTGAAGGAGAGGAGAAGGGCGGGTGTGTGGCTGATAGGAGAGAGGCAGGAGGTGAGGGAAGGAAGGGAGGAGAAAGCGGGAAGGAAGAGAATAGCAGAAGAAGTGCAGGGGCTACGGCTGAGCAAGGAGAGAAGGGGGAGGAGGAGCAGGGGAAGGGGGAGGAGGGGAAGGAGGGGGAGGGGGAGCAGGGGGAGAAAGGGGAGAAGGGGGAGAAGGGGGAGGAGGGGGAGGAGAAGGTGTGGATAACGTTCTGTGTGGTGGACACTGGCATGGGCATCAGTCAAGAGGCGTGCTCCAGGCTGTTCCGCGCGTTCATGCAGGTATGGGGGGACGTTGAGACTTTTGAGTGACTCAAAAATCACCTGTTCCGCGCGTTAATGCAGGTATGGGGGGACGTTGACTGGTTAACCTCATGGGGGGAGAGGGGGCTAAGCTGGGTGGGGGCAGGGTGGTTTGAGTTGATCTCCTTCAACACTCTCCACTCCCCAATCATCCCAACAGGGAGATGGCTCGACGTCCCGTCGCTACGGGGGCACGGGGCTGGGCCTGGCAATCTTTAAATCCACGTCAGCAGCCAAGTGGGGTGGAAGGCAGGGCAGGGTGGTTCTAATCGATTCCTTCTAACTTATCACACTCCGCTCCTCTCCTCTCCCCTCCTTCCCCTACCTTCTGTCCCCTCTTTCCCTCCCCTTCCCACCCGCCTCTCTCCTCCCAACCCACAGGGTGACGCCTCCACATCTCGCCGCTACGGGGGCACGGGGCTGGGCCTGGCGATTTCTAAGTCGCTCGTGAACATCATGGGTGGCGAAGGAGGGGGGGGGCAAGCTGGGTGGGGGCAGGGTGGTCTGAATTGATCTTCTTCAACACTCTCCATTCCCCTACACACCCCTACGCTCTCCATTCCCCTACACACCCCTACACTCTCCATTCCCCTACACACCTCTACGCTCTCCATTCCCCTACACACCCCTACGCTCTCCATTCCCCTACACACCCCTACGCTCTCCATTCCCCATCCTACCTAACAGGGCGACGCCTCCACGTCTCGCCGCTACGGCGGCACGGGGCTGGGCCTGGCGATTTCCAAGTCGCTGGTGAACCTCATGGGGGGGGACATTCACGTCAGCAGCCAAGTGGGCTGAAGGCACGGGGGGGTGGTTCGAGGCGATTCTTTCAACTTATCACACATCCCTCCCCTTCCCTTCCCTCCCCTCCCCTCCTCTCCTTTCCCTCCTTTCCCTCCTTTCCCTCCCCCGCCTGTCCGCCTCGTCCCCCACTCACAGGGCAATGCCTCCACGTCCCGCCGCTACGGGGGCACGGGGCTGGGTCTGGCGATTTCCAAATCCCTCGTGAACATCATGGAGGGGGGCATTCACGTCAGCAGCCAAGTGGGCGCCGGGTCCAGGAAGGGAGCTTTGAGTCGGTTCTTTTTACTTAACACACTCCACTCCCTTCCCCCACCCTCCCTCCCCTCCCCTCTTTCCCTCTTTCCCCTCTTTTCCTCCCCTCCCCTCCCCTCTTTCCCTCTTTCCCCTCTTTTCCTTTCCTCCCCACTCACAGGGCGATGCCTCTACGTCTCGCCGCTACGGGGGCACGGGGCTGGGCCTGGCGATTTCCAAATCCCTCGTGAACATCATGGGGGGGGACATCCACGTCAGCAGCCAAGTGGGCGCGGGGTCCACCTTCGCCTTCACCATCCAGCTCCCTGTGTCAACTGCCCAGCTCTGTGCACTGGCGGGGAACGGTGGGCTCATGGCCAGAGACGACTCCCTGGCAGGTCAGTTCCTCCTGGGGTGGTTCCTGTGTCTATCCTGGTTCAAAGCCTGGGGGAGGGGGGGATTCAAGGGCTGTGGTGGGGTGGGCGCCAGGTCCACCTTCGCCTTCACCATCCAGCTGCCCATCTCAACCGCCCAGCTCTGTGCTCTCGCTGGCAACGGCGGGCTCATGGCCAGAGACGACTCTCTCGCAGGTGAGGCCTCCTCAAAGGGAAGAGTCTTGTGCTGGTGGTAGCAGGTTAGGGACTCTGCTTCTCGGCTTGCTTCTCGGCTGTGGGGTGAGGCGCCCCGACCAGACTCAGCCTTCACCATCCAGCTGCCCGTCTCCACGGCGCAGCTCTGTGCGCTCGCTGGCAACGGCGGGCTGATGGCCAGAGACGACTCTCTTGCAGGTGGGTTTCTAACTTTCTCTATCTGCATCGGTTCATAGGGTGTGGGGGCTGACTCGACTAAGAAACTGACGCGTCTTGAGCAAGGACATGGGACTCGCTGCTGCACATCCACTGCTCCCTAATCTCTCTATCTCTCGTTTTTTTCTTTCCCCCTGCTTCTGCTTCTGCTGCTAACCTCTGCAATGTGTGCAGGTTCGTCAGCCGATGCCTCAGGAGTCGGGACATGGGGAGGAGGAGGCAGAGGCATATCACGAAGCGGGAAATCCGGCACCGCTGCTGCCGCCACCGCTGACTAATCTCTCTATCTCTCTTTCTTTCTTTCTTTCTTTTGTCCTGCTCCTGCTGCTGCCGCTGCTGCTGCTGCCACCGCGGCTGTCCATCCAAGCAGGCTCGTCAGCCGATGCCTCAGGAGCAGGGACGTGGGGAGGAGGAGGCGGAGGCAGATCACGAAGCGGAAGATCCGGCACCGCTGCTGCCGCCACCGCTACAGCCGCGGCCGCTGCCGCTCCCACTGCTGCTCCGGGTTTTTCCACGGGGGGTGAAGGAGGGTTAGGGCTGGGGTGTGAGGAGGAGAGGAAGAAGAGGAGGAAGGGGCTGGCGTGTTTGATAGCGGAGGATAATAAAGTGAACCAGATGGTGGTGGTGCGCATGCTGAGGGGGCTGGGTGTGGTGTCCGACGTGGCTTCGAACGGAGAGGAGGCGCTGCGGGCGTGCGAGAAGAAAGACTATGACGTGGTGTTCATGGTGGGTGGTGTTACTCACTCACTCCCACAATCACTCCCTCACTCACTCCCTCCCTCACTCACTCCCTCACTCCCTCACTCCCTTACTCATTGCCACTCAGAAGTCCCGAAAGAGCTGTGCTATATGAATGCGCCTCACTGTCCCCCTTCCCGCCCCACCTTCCTTCGCTCTCATCCCCGTCCCACCCCTGTTTCCTTTCTGTTCCTCTCCCCTTCTCGGGACTGCCACATGCCGGTGATGGCTGGCTTCATTGCCACTCAAAAGCTTCGTGAGAGTTATACCATATGACTGCGCCTCGTTGCCTTCCCCCCATAACTTCCCCCCCCTCTTGTTCCCCCAACCCCCTATTCCCCCCCCTCCCCTCCCCCCCTTCCTCAGGACTGCCACATGCTGGTGATGGCTGGCTTCACTGCCACTCAGAAGCTTCGTGAGAGCTATACCATATGAATGCGCCTCATTGCCTTCCCCCATAACTTCCCCCACCCCCTTGTTCCCCCAACCCCCTATTCCTCCACCCCCCCTCTCTCAGGACTGCCACATGCCGGTAATGAACGGCTTCATTGCCACTCTGAAGATTCAGAAGCTTCCAAGTCGCTATTTTCTTTGAGGGCGACTTACTATGTACGCCCGTTCCCCTGCCTTCCCCTCTCTCCCTTTTCTCCCCCTTCCGCTCTCAGGACTGCCACATGCCGGTAATGGACGGATTCATTGCCACTCAGAAGATCCGGGAGCTTCCCACTGTCTGGGAAACTGCTGGTGACGCCGCTACAGCTGCTGCGACAGCTGCTGTTGCAGCTGCTTCTACAGATGGTGCCACATGCATGGATGAAGACAAGTCGGTTCGCAAGGGGAGTAGCGGGGCTAAAGCGGCAGATGGGGGAGGAGATACTGGTACTGGTGTCAAGCCCGGTGACAAAAACAAGCCCAGTGATAAAGGCAAGCCCAGTAGTCAAGGCATGGATGAGGACAAGTCGAATGCGGCTGGTGGTGCGGCAGATGAAGTGAGAGAGGGGGTTGAGAAAAGGGGTCAGGAGAGGGATGGGGACGGGGAGGAGGGGCGGCGGAGGAAGGGGAACGGGTCGAAGCGGAAGCGGCCGTATATCGTGGCGCTGACAGCAAGTGCACTCATGCACGAACGGCTCAGATGCACCGAGGTAAGTAAGCTTTGAGTTGGCTGGGATGCCGCATCAGCCGTATATCGTGGCTCTGACTGCGAGTGCACTCATGCACGAACGGCTCAGATGCACCGAGGTGAGTGGATCGGCGGTTGGCGCATGCATCATCCCCCTCCTCCCTTTCTCCCCCTCCCCATTCGCCATCTTTCTCATCATCTCTTCCCCTGCACATTTAACCCCCAACACGCAGGTGGGCATGGACCACTTCCTGACCAAGCCGGTGCGGTCGAGCGAGCTGGATGGGCTGCTGCAGCAGGGGAAGCAGCGAAAGTCCCTGTTCCCCCTCCCAACGCTACCTTCTATCTATCTCCACCCCAACCCCAACCCCGTACCCCAACCCCCAACCCCCAACCACAGGTGGGCATGGACCACTTTCTGACCAAGCCTGTGCGGTCGAGCGAGCTGGACGGGCTGCTGCAGCAGGTGGAGCGACGAAAAATGATGCTGGAGCAGCGCGAGGAGCAGGAGAGGAGAGCAGAGGAGGAGAGGAGGGAAGAGAAGGGAAGTGGGGAGAACAGAGGGGAGGATGGAGGAGTGGAAGGGGCACCTCCGTAATATTTGAGGTGACTTACAGTTTCACCTTCTTATTTTCCCTTAAGTGCTCGGCACAGGTGGAACTGATCCTATTCTTTCGGAGTGTGAGAATAGGAACGCGTGGCTGTTTTTGTGTGGAGGTGAACATAGGGACAGTTGTTATGGGGAGGTGAGTATGGAGAAGGTAAGCAGCGAAGTGGGTAAGACTGCTGAGGAGGCAATCAAGGGGAGAGGGGAAGAGACTGTGGAAGATGGAGGAAGGTTGTAAGCAGAAGGTAGCAGCAGGAGGCCTGGATATTAACAGGGATTTCCCGGGATGTGTCCGGGAGGAGGCAGTTACGGATCACGGGGCTTAGAGCAGCAGCAACAGCTGCAGGAATGGTCACGACAACAGTGGCAGCAGCAGTTGTTGTACAGCTACCCGGTTTTTGCCCTACATGCCGCATCTCACATGCTGTGTCAGATCAAATTGACATGCTGATGTCCCATTTCCTAATTTGGTCATCAGGAAATTTAGATTCTAAACGATTAGACCATCGTGTTAGCACCTTGTTTATCTAAAGCGCGGGTGCCATGCATGTTCAGATGTGGGAAGTGAAAAGGAGGTACTCCATTTAAGCTTAAATTTAATCAAAGCTGGTTTGCTGAACAGAAACATCTCTAAGCAGAACTTCGATTACTACCGAAGTGCATTGCCTTGTTACATTCCATATTTTCTATTACCGAAAGTCTCGCACTCGGTGATCTTCGCCAATTTGGGGTTATGCGATGTTGAGCTGTTCGCGGACGTCTCGCCCAAAGCAGCGACCTGCTTGCGATGGCCGAATCACACGCTCACGGTTTTTCTTCGTGGAGTTGCGAAAGAACGTCAATTTACCTGCGACTCGTCCTCACTAGGAATCTGCGAGGCTGTGGAATGAAATGAAAACCTACCCCACCACCAGGCCAGCAGCATGAAAAAGTTGGCATTTCCTCCTCACTCATGGGTGGCACCTTCCACAATGTTTGGAGCGAAGCAGCAGCACCCATTGGCTAACAGCAAGGCCCTGGGGGCACCTGAAGCGAGCCGCGATTACCCGCTGTCCGCTCCAATTTCTACTGTTACACCTTTCTCAAGAACGCAGGTCCCCACCTGAGCCCCCCTGGCAGATCCAACCGCGCCGCAGAAAGGCTCTCCTGAGAAGCATCAGTGAACAGCATCCCCGCGGTTCGGAGTCAAGAGCATGCGCGGCTCGAAGGGGCAATTTTTCCTGGTCAGATCGGATGGCTCCACGGGTGCACGGTGATTGGTGGCCGATTCGGTGTGGCAACAGAGGCCGAACCGATTTTGTCGGCCCGCGAATTTGGCCCCTGGGAAACGCCAGTGGTTGTGTGGGGTGGGAGGACGTGAGCGTTGTTGGCCAATGGGGGGCGCATGTACCCTCCTCTGCTGCTGCTGTACCCTACAAATAAACGACTTCACAATTCTTTACAAACGACTTTTTCAACACAACAAAGCCATCTTTCCACCACAGAAGACAAAGGCATTGACCAGCACCGTCCTTCCTTCTTCCTCTCTTGCCCATTGCGATTCAAGCGAGAAGCAGAAATTCCGCACCAACTTGCTGCAAAGACACTCCTCTCTGCGCATTACACAAGCACTGCATCTAGCTGCCTCCTCTCGACGAGCCTACTTGATCCAGATCCCCACATTTGCTTCAACACTTTTGTGCGTTGAGCCGCATCGTGAGGCATCTCAGAAAAGCCGTGGTCTCCGAGACTCATCAAACCCGAATCTCTAAATTCCGCGTCTCTCAGAGCAAGCTAGCGTCGGCGTTTAACTTCTCTAGAAACTATCCAGAGCGATCTCAAATGGCTCAGTACTGGGCGTCGCGTCTCTCGTATCTCCTCGACGAATCATACGAGGAGGAGGAGCAAGCCATGCCCAACCCGCACCCGTCTCTCGGGAAACTCCCCCGCCCCAGCATGCTCCAAATCCCTGTCTTCAACCCGCCTCCGCCTTCCCCCTCCCCGCTTCCGTACTTCTACCAGCCGCCGAAGCGCGTAGCGGCGCCGCAGCCCGCGCAGCCGCAGAAGAAGCAGCAGCGCCGGAGGCGGCACAGAGTATGGGACGACCTCCCCACGCCGATCGTGTACGAGAAGTACGAGCCGGTAGCGCCGGTAGCGGCGGCGGCGGCTGCGGGTGAGAAGCGGGTCCGGTCGGACGCGTTCACGGAGATTCCGCTGAGCAGTCGCGCTCGCGAGGAGCCGAAGGCAAATCCGTCGAAACTCGAGCAGTCGCTGATTGTTCGCGCATCTGACGCGTCGCTCTCAACCTCCTCCTCCTCCTCCTCCTCCTCCTCCTCCTCCTCCTCCTCCTCCTCCTCGTCTTCGGGAAGTTCCGACATGCGCCGCTTCGCTAATAGCAGCAGCTCCGATAGTGGGCGCAGCGTGAGCAGCGCGAGCAGCGCAGGTAGCAGCGACCGCGGTGCAGTATACAGTTTGGGCCGGAAGCAGCGGAGCCACAGGGACGGGTGCGTGTGCGTCGTCGACACCTCTCTCCTCTGGTCCTCCCTCGTCTCTACACTCTTCCGCCCTTCTCTCCCCGCGCTCCCCGCGCCTTCCGCTGCAAACCACGCCGCACTTCCCGGACCAGCAGTCTACCCCGTTCTCCTTTCGCGACAGCCGTCCACCGCCGAAAGCTCTGGCTATGATCTCAAATCGCCTGCGCCTCGGGTGCCTCGCACAGACGCTGCCGAGCCGCAGGAGGTTTCTCATGGCATGAGAACGATCGCGGAGCTGATGGGATTAGATTCGGAGAAGCTGCTGGTACAGATGGCTGGTCTTGGTAAAAGCCCAATGTCCGTACTTACGCCCACTGGTTCGGTGAAATCGTCCGAACCTAGCCCGATTCTGCTGCCAATGGCTATTGCTTGGTAGCTAGTAAGCTCCGAGAAAAGCACGGAGAAGCATCCGGGAATCGGGAACGAGAAACTTACGATTGATGTGCAATAGTGTAGATTTGTGAAATAGCTACACTGTATCTATCTGCTTCTTGCTGAGCAAATTGCTCGGTATAAGCTTTGCCCCCCGTGCTAGTGGTGGAGGGGCTTTGTATTAATCAATACATCTTTTCTGACAAAGGCAGTTTGGTGCAGAATAATGTAGGCCATTAACAATCAAAACAGAATCCTGGTAGCTAGCAGAAAGCAGTGTTGTGGGGTGGTTTTCTAAAGTTTTAGAGCATTTCGGGTTTAGAAGCGAACAATATTCACTTGTACAATGAGATCCAAGCACATTTGCAGTCAAATGTGTTTGAAATCGCGTTTGATTGTGGGACACATTCGATGTTTCCAAGGCAGTCAGACAAACCTCTGTGTGCTGCCTCGCCTCCCCAACTTCCCAAATTCATTAAATTCACTAGTTATATGTTCCGACTTCCCGATTCCAACGGGTAGAGCGAAGCGAGTACGCATTGTGCTTAGGAAGTTGCGGTTCGGTTCCGTTATGGCTGTCACACAGTTCTTAGAATAGACCGCTAGAATACTAGAAGCCTGTCTGTTTTTCTCCGGAACTTCGCAAAACAAGGCAAAGCTCGAGAACCGGGAATCCAAACCCATCGTTCTAGGGTTAGTCTCATCCGTCCTCTGCATTCGTAGACTCTTTCCGGAAACGCTGTTCACAGCAGACTCGTTACAGTGGAGTCGTTACAGCGGATACATTATAACGGACTCGTTACAGTAGACTCGTTACAGCAGACTCATTACAGCGGACTCGTTACAGCAGACTCGTTACAGCGGACTCGTTACAGCGGACTCGTGACAGCGGACTCGTCACCGCGGATTCGTTACCGCTAAAAGGTCGTCGTCGGTGTGCATGGCGCAGTGGGTGCTGGCGACGGTGCTCGGCGTCGTGTGGGCGATCAGCCTACACTACAGCGAGTGGATTCAGTTTTGGTTACGGCCGCCCAGCTGCTCCACGTGGCCGGACGAGAGTGGTCAGGTGAGTATTCAGGTGAATGTTCAGGTGAATATTCTGGTGCTGGGCGTCGTGTGGGGCGGTCAGCCTGCTGCTCTACAGCGAGTGGATTCAATTCTGGCTTCGGCCGCCCAGCTGCTCTACGTGGCCGGACGAGAGTGTTCAGGTGAATGTTCAGGTGAAAAAATCAGGTGGATATCTAGGTGCTGGGCGTCGTGTGGCCGACCAGCCTACTCTACAGCGAATGGATTCAGTTCTGGCTTCGGCCGCCCAGCTGCTCAACCTGGCCGGACGAGAGCGTTCAGGTAAGAGTTCAGGTGAAGTTTCAGGTGAATGATCCTGTGCTCGGCATCGTGTGAGGCGATCAGCCTGCTCTACAGCGAGTGGATTCAGTTCTGGCTTTGGCCGCCCAGATTCCCCACGAGAGTCCTCCAGATGGGGGGTATTGAGGTAAGTGCCTGGAAGGTGGATGTTCAGGTGGATGTTCAGGTGGAGTGGTGGGAATCAAGCGGCATGTTCAGCGGCTTCTAAGCTCAGCCGTCCGGTGCTCATTCATTTGACAGGCTTGTTTCTGTTGCATATCCACCATCCATCTCTCTTTTATCCAACTGGAATCTGACGTTCTGCAAAGTTTGCCATTTTTATTTTCTTTGCGTGTTGTTATTCCAGGGTCAGTACATCCCTACCAAGGAATACAAGACAATTGCAGTCATCAACAGTCCAAAGGTGGGTTCTACACTCTACACGCGTAATCCGTTGCATTGTGCATATTCTACATGCATTGATCACCCATCCGCGTTATAGACAACTAGTGTGATGCCTAACAATATCCACCATCATTCCCAATGGCCGATCCATGTTCACTTCACATCATTCCTCCAATCGACAACCCCCGCCAACTCCTCCCAACCGCCGTACGTAACTACCAAATCTCAATCCCTTCCCAGCACACAACTACATTTTTTAACTTGAAATTTTCACAATGTCCCCCACCCCCCCTGCTTGCTCTCCCCCTGCTTGCTCGCCCCCAGCTCCTCCCCAGCACCGCCCTGCACGCACAGTTCATCACCGCCCGCCTCCGCAACGACCTCTACCTGCCCTTCCCACGCTGTTTCCTTGTCTTCCCCTTTCCCCCTTCCCCCCCCCCCCCCCCCCCCCAGCTCCTTCCCAGCACCGCCCTACATGCGCGGTTCATCATGCCCCGCCTCTGCTGCAACGACCTCAACTTGCCCTCCCTCTCTATTTCCCTGTCTTAACCCCCTTACCTCCCTCCTTTCCACCCCCCCCCCCAACCAGCTCCTCCCAAGCACCCCCCTCCACGCGCAGTTCATCACAGCCCGCCTCCGCAACGACCTCTATCTGCCCTTCCCCCCCTTTTTCCTTGCCTTAACCTTTCCCCCCCTTCCCCCAGCTCCTCCCCAGCACCGCCCTGCACGCCCAGTTCATCACGGCTCGCCTCCGCAACGACCTCTACCTTCGCCGCGCCTTCCGAGCCTCCGTGCTCCGGTTCTCCCCGAGCCTCGTTGTCACGCTCGGGGACCTCTTCCAGTCCGGAGCTGACGCCACTTACCCCCTGTAAGTCCCCTGTCACCTGTGCCATTTCCCATGTGCCATGTGCCATGTGCCACACGTGCTGCGAAGAGCTTCATTACCCCCCGCTGCCATGTGCCCAAGCGCCCCGCCCGGTATTTCAGACGTTCAACCACTTAGTTAATCTGCACATGCATCTGCCCTCCCACGTTCGCTTCACTCCCCGCCCTCTCCTCCTTCGTCTCCCCCCCACCCCCCCCCCCCCCCCCCCCCCCCTCCCCTCTTCTTTCTCCATGCACCAGCTTTCGAGCAGAAGCCAGCGGCTACCACCACGTATTTCAGTCAGACCCACGATCGATCTCTCGACCCGCACACCTGGGAGAGACTCAGAGCGCATTCCGTGTGCCTCCCCAAACCCCCCCTTCTCCCCCCCCCTCTACCCTGCTCCCTGTACCAGTTTCCGAGCAGAAGCCAGCCGTTATCACCATGTGTTTCAGACGCACGACCCTTTTCTCGACCCGCACACGTGGGAGAGGCGGCGGCGGCAGCAGATGGAGCGAGAGAGAGGGAGGGAGAAGGAGAGGGAGGATAGGGAGGAGAGGGAAAGGGAGAGGGGGAAGGAATCAAAGAGTGGCCAAGGAGGAGGAGAAAAAGAGGGGGGCCACAGAGGGGATGGTATTGGGAGGAGGAGCGTTTGGGAGTGGGTGCAGGGAGGGCTGTGGTGGGGGAGGTGGCATCTGGGGGAGGGGGAGGATGGGGTGAATGTGCACATGCGGACGGATTTGGCTCAAGTGGCGGGAGAGAGAGACGTGGGATTCAGCAGCACACAGAGAAAGCAGCACGAGGTGCGTGTGTGGAAGGAGAAGGGGGAACTGGGTGGGAAAGGGGAGGATTGAGAAGAGGTAGGGGGGAGGGCGGGGTGAATGTGCACATGCGGACGGATTTGGCTCAAGTGGCGGGGGAGAGGGACGTGGGATTCAGCAGCACACAGAGGAAACAGCACGAGGTGGGTGTGGGAGGGGAAGGGGAGGGTGGAGGGGAAAAGGAAGGGACGGTGTTACAGATCTGGCTTGGCGGGAGAGAGAGACGTGGGATTCAGCAGCACGCAGAGGAAGCAGCACGAGGTGGGTGTGGGAGGGCGGTGGTGGGAGGGGGGAGTGAATGTGCACAGGCGGACAAATTTGGCTCAAGTGGCGGGGGAGAGGGACGTGGGGTTCAGCAGCACGCAGAGGAAGCAGCACGAGGTGGGTGTTGAGAGGCGGGGGCGCGTTGAAATAGAGTCAAAGCAGGAGAGAGAGGGATGTGAGGTTAAGTAGCACACAGAGAAAGCAGCACGAGGTGGGTGTTGGGAGGCGGGGGCGCGTTGAAATAGAGTCAAAGCAGGAGAGAGAGGGATGTGAGGTTAAGTAGCACACAGAGAAAGCAGCATGAGGTGGGTGTCGGAGGCGGGGGCGCGTTGAAATAGAGTCAAAGCAGGAGAGAGAGGGATGTGAGGTTAAGTAGCACACAGAGAAAGCAGCACGAAGTGGGTGTGGGAGGGGGAGGGGATGGAGGGGGAAGGGAGGGGGAAAAGTGGTGGAGTGTGAGTTTGAGTTGAACTTTTGAGAATTCCCAAAAGTAACACCAATATAGCTGGGGGTGGAGTGTGAGTTTGTGTTGAATGACCACGACAAGGTGGGGGCGGTGACGGTGGTGGGGTGGATCAACGGCCTTATCTCCCCTCTATATCTTCTCCTCCTCTTCTGCGTCTTGCCCTGCCTGTGCTATCAGCTGGCAGTGCGGTTTGAGCGGTATGTGGGAGCGCTGAATTTCCACGACAAGGTGGGCGCGGTGCGGGTGGTGGGGTGAATCAACGGCCTCCCTCAGTGTCTAACCCTCCTTTTCTGCCCCCTTTTCTGCTATTGTTCTTCTTCAAATTCCGTCAGTTGGCAGTGCGCTTTGAGCGGTATGTTGGGGCGCTGAACTTCCACGACAAGGTGGGCGCGGTGAGGGTGGTGGGAGTGAACGGTTTGGCCGTGGACGGCCACAGGCAGCGCAACAACAGCACGAAACAGCTGGAGGAGTTCCTTCAGAGCCTGCCAGACCATGGTGAGATGACGTGCATGCTTATACTCCCTCAAGGTGGGGGTGGTGGGTGTGAGCGAGGCAGTGCGGGCAGAGGGAGTGGTGAGGGTGGTGGGGGTGAACGGGCTGGCTATGGACGGGCACAGGCAGCGCAACAACAGCACGCGACAGCTGGAGGAATTCCTTCAAAGCTTGCCAGACCATGGTATGGTTTGCCGCTCTTCTTGTTGTCGTGCCTGTTTCTCTCTTGTTCACTTGTCTCTTGTTCACTTGTCTCTTGTTCACTTGTCTCTTGTTCACTTGTCTCTTGTTCACTTCCTTCTCTGCTGCAGCTGAAGGACCCCAGCCCCCCAGTTTTGAGACGTCTCAAAATCAAAACTATTGAGACGTCTCTCAAAGTTTCTTCTCTTCTTCCCTTCTCTGCTGCAGCTGTGCGACCCCGGGCCCCCTCACTCGCTTCCATCCTCTGTTCCTCTCTTCCCTCTCTTCGTCTCTTCTCTGCACTGTTGCTCCCCTGCAGGTGCCGAATGTTGAGGCGCCTCAAAAGACGATTTTTGAGGCGCCTCAAAAGCTGGGGGACCCCAGGCCCCCTCACTCGCTTCCATCCTCTGTTCCTCTCTTCCGTCTCCTCCGTCTCTTCGGCTCTTCTCTCCACCGTTGCTCTGCTTCAGGTGCCCAGGCGTCCTCACTCCCGCTCATCCTCTTCTCCCACCTGCCGCTCCACTCCCCCACCAACCTCCCCTGTGGAGCCAACCCACAAGGCCAAGCAGTGGTGAGAATGGGCGTCAGGGGATGTGTGTAACCTCCCACATCCGCCTCTCTTCTCCCATCTCCCTTCTCTTCTCCCACCGGCCGCTCCACTCCCCCACCAACCTTCCCTGTGATGCCAACGCCCAAGGCGCAACTGTGGCGCGCCGCACCCGATCCTGCAACATGCAACATGTGTTGTGCTGGATCCCCAATGTGATTTTTGAGTCGACTCAAAAGTTCCCTTGCCTGTTTATAAACGACCTGTTCCAACCCTCCTCCCTCCCTCCCCTGCCCCCTTTCCCCTTTGTTTCTGCTCCCCAGGACTGGGACAAGGACGGGGAGGTTAGGTGAGCTCCTTCCCTCACTCACTCACCCTCACTATACACTCCCACTCACAACCATTTACTCACACTCACTCTCACACTCACCACTGATGCCTGCACAGTGTTGACTTTTGAGACGCCTCAAAAGTAGACTCATTCACACTCATTACTGATGCTTGCACAGTGTTGACCGTTCTCCCCTCTCCCCTACACACGTGGTCGCTCCTCTTCTTGTCCCCTCCTTCACACGCTAAGTCATATTCGTTCTCCCTTCCCCCCCTTTCAGGCACCGGGATGCGATATCAAAAGAAGGGTCTAACCACCTGCTGCAGCTGACGCATGGGTCAACTCAAAAGTCACCTCGCCTCTCCGGCTCTCCCCGTCCCCCTCTCCCCTCTTCCCCCCCTTCAGTTACCAGGATGCGATATCAAAAGAAGGGGCCAACCACCTTCTTCAGCTGCTGAGACCGGTATGTGCATGCGCTGTGGGGATAGGGAGGAGAATGAGAACGTAGTAGAGGATGGGACGGGGCGATGGAGTTAAGCAGGAGGGTTTTTGAGGCGCCTCAAAAGGCGATGGAGTTAAGCAGGAGGGTCGGGGGAGTGGCAGTGGGTCAAGGAGGGTCTGCATTGGGGGAACTGTGCACCTCTCTCGTGCTGTCCCCAATGGAGCCTCTGGTGGTGTCGGGCCAGTGGCAGCTTTGAGACGTCTCAAAACTCTGGTGGTGTTGGGCCAGTGGCAGCACCGGCAGGTGAAAGTGTCTGAAGATACTCCTTTCCCATCCATCTCCTCTTGCTCCCTCTCTCCCATCCCCACAGGCTCTGGTGGTGTCAGGGCACGCAGAGTCAACCTGCTGGCAGCAGCGGCAGGTGGGGGGACCGCCCAGAGGGAACAGCAGCTTGGGTGGCACTGCTGCTGCTGCTGCTGCTGCTTGGGACGTGATCGAGGTGCGTTGGGGGTAGGGGTGTGGTGGGTTGGGGAGGTGGGGAGCAGCACTTGGGTGTCAGGGCATGCAGAACCCACCTGCTGGCAGCAGCGGCAAGTGAAGGGAACGCTTAGAGGGAGCAGCGCTGCTGCTGGTCGTGACTCGCCAATTTTTTGCCATTTTTTTGCCGATTGTTTGCCAGTTTTTGCCAAATTTGTGCCAATGTTTTGCCATTTTTTTTGCTTTTTTTTTATGCTGCAAAAGTAGTGTGTTCACATGCACAGCCACCCGTCCAAACCTTCATCTCTATCCACAGCGACATGCCATCTCCCACCCTCCTGCCTCTGTGTGTCGCCGCAGCCTGTTGTCAACCAATTTCCACGCACCGTCCATTCTCTGCCCCACCTTCTCCCAACACTCCCGCCTCTCGTCCATATGTCTGTAATCCGTGTGCATGTGCGTTTCCCTCCCTCCCTCCCCTCCCATGTGTGTGTGCAGTTGTCGCTCCCTACCTTCTACCTCATCCACAGCACACACGCCATCACCGACCCGCCTGCCTGTGTGTGACTGTACATTCAATCATCACCTCTTGCCCATCTTTCCCAAATGCCCCTCCCCTCTCTTCCCTCTGTGTGCAGTTGTCGCTCCCAACCTTCAACTTCATCCACAGCACACACGCCATCACCGACCCGCCTGCCTGTGTGTGACGTGTACATATAATCAGCATCTCCTCTTCCCCGCCTTTTCCAACTACTCCTCCCCACTGGCCGTGTGTGCAGCTGTCGCTCCCAACCTTCAACTTCATCCACAGCACACACGCCATCACCGACCCGCCTGCATTCCTCCTCATCACCGTTCCCCTGGATCACAACCCACATGGAGGCTACAGGGAACAGCAGGGGCAGCAGCAGAAACCAACGCTGGGGGCAGCATCAGTGCACGTGCAGCTGTGTGTGCTGCCCACACAGATCCTCTTCCCTCCCTGGTACGCCCGTGTTAGTCATGTCGCTCTCTCCCAGCAGGTATGTTGTCTCTCTCCACTAGAACCACCAGAATCACCAGCACAGCCAGCAGTGGCACATCCAGCAGCAGAAACCGACGCTGGGAGCAGCGTCAGTGCACGTACAGCTGTGTGTGCTGCCCACGCAGATGCTCTTCCCTCCCTGGTACGCCCCGCGTATGTTCCGCGTCTTTTTTAGCTGACTCTATAACGTTGGGAGCAGCGTCAGTGCACGTGCAGCTTTGTGTGCTGCCCACTCAGATCCTCTTCCCTCCCTGGTACGCCCCGCGTATGTTCCGCGTCTTTTTTAGCTGACTCTATAACGTTGGGAGCAGCGTCAGTGCACGTACAGCTGTGTGTGCTGCCCACGCAGATTCTCTTCCCTCCCTGGTACGCCCCGCGTATGTCCCGCGTCTTTTTTAGCTGACTCTATAACGTTGGGAGCAGCGTCAGTGCACGTGCAGCTTTGTGTGCTGCCCACTCAGATCCTCTTCTCCCCCTGGTATGCCCACCGAGCGTTTTTTAGGCACCTCAAAAAGACGTCAGTAGAGGAGACAAGTATGACTTTTGAGGCAGTAACACCCCATTACGTGTGTTGCGATCCAACAGGAATGCTGTCTTTCTCCCTGCTCGTGTTCCTCCTGCTGTCCTCACCAGGTGTCTCTTGGGCGTCACCTCCCTCAAACCCGCCCGCCTCCCTCCTCTTCCTCTCAAAAGGTCCTTTGTATTAATGCGGTGATTGGTACAAGCAAGACGGTCAACGGAGAGCAGAAGGTTGAACCTGCAAATACACCTCTCTCCCGAATGGTCCTTGCATTAATCATGGGGTGTTACAACGGTAGATGCAAACACATGCATAAACAAGCAAACACAACCGGTATCCTGACTATCACCTCTCTCCCTCTCTCTCTCCCCACATCACCCTCCTCCCCCCTCCACTCCAGGTATTTCATCCTCTCGCTGTTCTCCCTGCTCACCTTCCTGCTGCTGCCTTCACCAGGTGTCCCTCTTCCCCTTCCTTCCCCTCTTACCCCCCCCCCAACCCCAGGTATTTCCTTCTCTCGCTGCTCTCCTGCCTCGCCTTCCTCCTGCTTCCCTCACGAGGAGTCTCCTGGGCATCCCTGGCAGTGCTGGCAGGGCGTGTGGCAGCAGCGAGCAAAGAAGCGTGGACACTGCCCAAGCTCAAGGCACCTTTTGATGATGCTGACCGCAACACGGTTCCCCTCTGCTCCCCCGCTCCCCACCCCCACACCTTCCCCCCTCCTTCCAACTCCCCACGTAACCCCCCCACACCTCCCCCCTCCCCCCAGGTATTTCCTCCTTTCCCTCCTCTCCTGCCTCGCCTTCCTCCTCCTCCCCTCCCGAGGTGTCTCCTGGGCGTCCCTGGCAGCGCTGACAGCGCGCGTGGCAGCAGCGAGCAAAGAAGCGTGGACACTCCCCAAGCTGAAGGCGGATGGGGATTGGGAGGGCGAGCTGGAGCCCATGTTTGACACGGATGGCAACATGGTGCTTGTCAGGCGGGCGACTCCAAGACTCCCTGATACCATGCCCACTTCAATCACATCTGACAGGAGGTGAGTTTCTGCTGTACCCGTCCCTTGTTGGTAAGGCATGGGGCATGCTGAAAGCTGAAGGCGGATGGGGATTGGGAGGGCGAGCTGGAGCCCATGTTTGACACGGACGGCAACATGGTGCTTGTCAGGAGGGCGACTCCCAGACTCCCTGATACCATGCCTTCCTCCATCTCCTCTGATCGAAGGTGGGTCTTGCTGGGGAGGTATGGGGCATGCTGAAAGCTCAAGGGGGACTGGGAAGTGAACGGGGATTGGGAGGGCGACCTGGAGCCCATGTTTGACACGGATGGCAACATGGTGCTTGTAAGGAGGGCGACTCCGAGACTTCCTGAGACTATACCCACTTCAGTCACATCTGACAGGAGGTGAGCTTGGCATGGGGCGTGCTGAAACTTCCAAGGCAGACGGGGAAGGGGAGCAGATGGGGAGGGGGAGGGCGAGCTGGAGCCCATGTTTGACACGGATGGCAACATGGTGCTTGTCAGGCGGGCGACTCCAAGACTCCCTGATACCATGCCCACTTCAGTCACATCCGATAGGAGGTGAGCTTGGCATGGGCCGTGCTGATAGCTGAGGGGAGGGTGCGGTGGGGAGGAAGAATGCGGGCTGGAGCCCATGTTTGACACGGATGGCAACATGGTGCTTGTATGGAAGGCGACTCCCCGGCTGCCTGATACCATGCCCTCTTCAGTCACGTCTGTTAGAAGGTGAGTTTCCGTGTCTCTTCAGTTGTGCCTATAGAATGGAAACTTCTGGTGCTACCAGGTGCAGTCCGTGAAGACCTTTCTGTACTTGCATGATGATTAACTAACTTCTATGCATCTTGTCTTCTGCTTTTGATTCCATTTTCAGACCCGGCGGGGCACAGCTTAGGGCATCCAGGCAACAGGGGTCGCATGATTCGTTAATGGACGCTGGTGGCAGCTCCGGCGTTCCTCGAATTGGTTCATTCACAGACGTCTCACGAGACGGTGCTACATCATCTGGAGGTGGTGGCGGTGAATCAGGAGGCGATGGTTTAATGGCGACGATTTCCAAGGGGGCGAATCTGACACCCAAGATTGCTTTTCTTCGCTTGTTGCGGGCGATAGGGCCGCTTACGCTGTTGGTGGGCAGTCAGCTTGCCTTGTATTTGGGGCTTCTCGCCAAATACTGGAGCTAGGATTGGGTTGCTGCTTGCAGTGCATGGTAATATGAATGGGAATACGAACCAGGCACTCTAAAACCTTAGTAAATATGCTTGTAATCATGCGGATTTATAGTATTTCTTATTCACTATCTGAATGCTTCACTTGTGGCACGGGTATCGGATGGCGGGTATCGAACTCGCATACCATTGGTTAGCTCGTTCACGTAACATCTGACGCGGTTAGCGTCAGATCCACGCTTCAGAGGACATTGTGATGTCATCAGTAGCAAAAGAGCGACACTGTTAGGTTCGGCAATACCTGCCACAACCTACGTCGTTACCAAACCTCCCGTAGTTTTCGCGACCACTTCGCAAACGCTTGGCCGTGTCTCATTGGCCGAAACAGAATGTTTGCTATGATTTCGTCGAACCAAACGCAGGGAGCTTCGGACAAAAGTCCTACCAAGCCTCCAGGAACACGCACACATCCCAGTTGACTTATTCTCGAAATTCACGATGCATTACATAGATTTTGGTCTTGCGCTGAGCTTTCCTGTCACGAGACACGAGTCCTCGTCCCGCGTTGCTCGTAGTAGCTTCTCCTTCAACAATTCGCCAGCGACGCGCGCTGCTCGTGCCCGTGGCTCGCGCGAGACTAGAGCCCAGAATCTACGTACCCGTTTAGCGGCATAATCAGTTACCCATCATCTTCCATGACCCTCGAGCCGCATATTTTTATCACTGATTGCTCGTATAAGGAGAAGTACTAATTTAGGATTGTGAACCCAGCAGCGTTCTGTCCTAAGAGGGGTAATTCAGGAGCGAGTGGTACTTACCCCCACCGCTGGTAGCAGTATCAGCAGCCCTCGATGGCGCGCCGCTCCTTGGTTCAGCTCCTGCGACGAGCGTCGCCAGCGTTTCGCATACCGTCGCCAGCACTTTGCAAACCTTCGCGACGCGAACTCAATCGTTCGCCATCTTTAATTCCCCCACCGCTGTCCTCCGCCTTGTATCACTCCGCCTCCCCCCCTGCCTCCGCTTCCTGCTCCGCTTTCTCCGCCTTCCCCCCCTGCTCGCTTTCTCCGCCCTGTCTTCCGCACCCTTCGCCGCATCCCCCACCGCTGCCGCCTCGTCGCCGCCAGACGGCGCAGTCGACGCGTCCACGGCTGGAGCGCACCCGTCCATAACCTCCTCGCACGGCCTCTCCCCCCACCAGCTCGATTTCCGCGCCTTGGCTCAGGTGAACTTGAGTTGACGGCCTCGCTGACGTGAACTCGTGTGCTTCTGCGCTTGTCACGGAAGGAACTATGCATTCAGCTGTGGTTGTGGAATGGACACCGGGTATCTCAAAGTGTTTCAGTCGACGCGTCCACGCGCTGGTGCCTCACGCGTCCACGTGTACTTCCCTGCACACCTAACCTTGCCTTATTCACCCTTTCCCCTCCCCGTTTTCCCCTCCTGCCCCTCTTTCACCTCCCCCGCGTCCGCTCTCCACCCCCCTGCGAGAAGGACTTCGCAGCCAATGAGCTGCTACCACGTGCAGCAGAGTGGGACACGCAGAAGCACTTCCCAGTGGACGTGCTTCGGAAGGCGGCAGGGCTTGGCTTGCTGCTCTCTTTGTCAAGGAAGACGTGGGAGGGTCGGGGTGAGTGGTGGTGTTGGTGGGTGGTATAAACTGCATCACTGATTGCGAGTACTACCGCTCCACACACCAGAAGCACTTCCCAGTGGACGTGCTGCGGAAGGCGGCAGGGCTGGGCTTTGCTGCTCTGTTTGTCAAGGAAGACGTGGGAGGGTCGGGGTGAGTTGAGTAGTTGCATGGCTGATATGACATGCAAGGCTGATTACGGATGTACCAGACTGTGGTGTTCTGCCACGTGTGTCTCATCCTTCTGCTGGTGCCCACTGCCACGTGTCATGAGCAGGTTGGGCAGGGCTGATGGGGCGGTGGTGTTCGAGGCGTTGGCACATGCTGACGTCAGCACGACGGCGTACCTGACGATCCACAACATGAACGCGAGCATCATCGACAGGTGGGGGACGGGTGTGATGACGTGGCAGGAATGGCTGACGTGGCAGGATTGGGCATGATGATATGTTAGGGATGGGTATGTGTGGGATAGTAAGAGTGTATTTTTCTCTCGTGCTCACCCATTGCAATTCTGGCATGTGTGGCATCATCAATCAGGTTCGGGTCGGAGGAGCAGAGGCACAAGTGGTTACTAGCGCTGGCAACAATGGTGGGTGGCTGGCACCGCATTCCACCGCATTGTGTTGCTCTGTATCGCCATCCCATCACTTCATCAACACCAGCCATCCATGTACTTGTTCTCTCCCTCCTCCGGTGTGGCAGGACCTGCTCTCCTCCTATTGCCTCACGGAGCCTGGCAGTGGCAGTGATGCTGCTGCTCTCAAGGTGACACATGGGAGCTGGGTGGTATGGCATGGTGTGGTGTGGTACGGTACGGTATGGCACGGCATCCCATGGGCAGGACCTGCTCTCCTCCTATTGCCTCACGGAACCAGGCAGTGGCAGTGATGCTGCTGCTCTCAAGGTGACACATGGGGACCGGGTAAAATGGCACTGCACCTCATTCCACCACATTGCACAACTTTTCGCCCCTGTGAACCGCTCTGTACTGCCCGCTATGTGCCTCCATGCGCACGAGCAGGACCTGCTCTCCTTTTCTTGCCTCACAGAGCCTGGCAGTGGCAGCGATTCCGCTGTTTTCAAGGTGAGAGATGGGTACCAGATGGTATGGCATGGTGTGGTATGGTACGGTATGGTATGGCATCTCTTGGGGAGGACCTCGTTTCCTTTTATTTCCAAACGGAACCTGGCGACTGTGGCAGTGATGCTGCTGATCTCAAGGTGAGGAATGGGGACCGGGTGGTATGGCACAGCATGGCATGTTATGGCATGGCATGGGGATGCGATGGCATGGCATGGCTTGGCGTGGCAACATACCATGATCCTGGTTGTCTCAAATGAGTTCATGTGTCTCTGTGACTTCTCCACCTGTTGTAAGCGCTTTCTTCTCTCACTACCTTTTCCATCTTTCTCCTTGGTAATGTTATTGAACCCACTTCCACCACTACAGACCACGGCGAGGCAGGCCCCTGGCTCCACGGATTACATTCTGAATGGATCCAAGGTACCGCCCTCCCTACCTCCCTGCCGCCCTGCCTCCCTGCCCCCCTGCCCCCAACTCTCAACTGATCCTCCTTTCTCACCTCCTTTCTCACCTCCTTTCTCACCTCCGTTCTCACCTCAGTTCTCACCTCCTTTCTCACCTCTTGTCTCTCCTCTTGTCTCCCCTCTCTCGTGTCCCTCCCAGGCGTGCGTCAGTGGAGTAACAGCTGCTGATGTGTATGTGGTGATGGCTCGGACAGGCAGGGAGGGGGAAAAGGCGTTGGTGCCATTCCCTGCCTTACTCACTGCCCTCTCCCGCTTTCCGTATGCTCTCTTTCTCCCCCTCATTCCCAGGCGTTTATCAGTGGAGCCACGGCCGCTGATGTGTATGTGGTAATGGCTCGCACAGACGGGGAAGAGGAAACGAGATTTTTCCCCAACCTCAATACTGATCCTCCTCACGCTCCCTCTCTCCCCCTCATTCCTGATCCCCCAGGCGTTTATCAGTGGAGGCACGGCGGCTGATGTGTATGTGGTGATGGCTCGGACAGATGGAGAGGGGGGGAAAGGACTTTTGACCCCTCCCTCTGCCTTACTCACCGCCCTCCCCCCCTTGCCTTTCTCCTCCCTCTGATCCCCCAGGCGTGCATCAGTGGAGCAACGGCGGCTGATGTGTATGTGGTGATGGCTCGGGAAGATAGGGAGGGGAAAAAGGCATTGGTGCATTTCCCTGCCTTGCTCACCGCCCTCCCCCATTTGCCTTTCTCCCCCCACTCTTGTTCCCCAGGCGTTCATCAGTGGAGCAACGGCCGCTGATGTGTATGTGGTGATGGCTCGGACAGGCGGAGAGGGGAAAAAGGGACTGGTGCCACTCCCTGCCTTGCTCACCGCCCCCCCCCCACCCACCCCTTGCCTTTCTCCCCTCTCTCTGATCCCTCCCAGGCGTTCATCAGCGGAGCAACGGCTGCTGATGTGTATGTGGTGATGGCGCGGACAGACGGGGAGGGGCCCAAGGGGATATCGTGCTTCCTGGTGAAGAAGGTGGGTGCTGAGGGGCTAGCACGGGTAGCTTGAGACGTGTCAAAAGGTGTATGCGGCAATGGTTCGTACAGACAGCGAGGGCCTCACGAGAATCTTTTCAAGGTGCTTAAAAAATCGTCTCGATTCACGTGGATTTTATATGGGAAATGTTTAGGTTGCTTGAGACGTGTCAAATGGTGTATGCGGCAATGGTTCGTACAGACAGCGAGGGCCTCACGAGAATCTCATGCTTTCTGGTGGAGAGGGTAGGAGTGTGGGTGGCAGGGGGCATGGGTGGTGTAGTTTGAGACGTCCCAAAAAGAGTGCCCACAAGAATCTCATGCATTTTGGTGGAGAATCTCAAAGCTTCTAATGAAGAGCTGAAGGCAAAACTTGATGAAGTTCACAACGCGGAGGAAGCTCTTCCTGTAAAAAACCTACAGCAAAAGCTTCTTCCGCCTTGTGAACTTCATCAAGTTTTGTTTTCAGCTCTTCACTAAGCCTTGAGCTTCAAGGGGACGGGAACAACGGGAGGGGCCCAACGGGAGGGTCTCGAGCGGATATCATTTTACCTGATAGAGAGGTTGAGATGGATCTGAGGGGTTAATGTGGGAGTTTTGAGGCGTCTCAAGGCTTTGAGGAGCAAAAGTGCACACACCGTACGTACGAACAAAACTTTTGAGGAGACTACAAAATAGGATAATTGAGTCCATATTTTTTTCCACCTTCTGAACATCTGCAGATGTCCGCACTTTGCTCCTGCTCCCGCTCCTGCTCCCGCTCCTGCTCCTGCTCCCGCTCCTGCTCCCGCTCCTGCTCCTGCTCCTGCTCCTGCTCCTGCTCCCGCTCCTGCTCCCGCTCCTGCTCCTGCTCCTTCTCCTGCTCCTGCTCCTGCTCCTGCTCCTGCTACTGCTGCTGCTCCTGCTCCTGTTGATTGTTCGTGTGGGCACAGGACATGACTGGGGTATCATTTGGTCAGCTGGAGAAGAAGCTCGGGTGGAACTCACAGCCTACTGCTGCGGTGAGTAGGACCCAGTTGGCTCCTATTTGCACCGCATGTAACCTCACGTCACCTCACCTCACTGCACTGCACCTCACACGACCTAACCCCTGGGGTATCATTCGGGCAGCTGGAGAGGAAGGTTGGGTGGAACTCACTGCTGCGGTTAGTAGGACCCAGGTTGTTACTGATGCACCACATCTCACCGCATGTCACCTCACCTCACCTCACTCCGATATGCATATCCTTGTACCTGTGTTTCCCAGTCAGGTCATTCTGGAGGACTTGTGAGTGCCTGCGGGCACGTTTGAGTCAGCTAAAAAACCCCTCTTTTTTCGTCGTGCCTTTGTGACCCGACTCCTCCTTTCCTTTGCATGTTTGCCCCCATAACTTGGAGGAGGTTAGGGTGCCGGCATGTTCAACACAGCTCAAAGCTCAATCCGCCTCTGCATGTCCTTTGTATGTTTGTCCCTTGGAGGATATATGCTCAATCAGGTCATTCTGGAGGATGTGAGAGTGCCAGCAGCAAACCTTATTGGGGGAAGGGGCAACGGCTTTCGAATAGCCATGACTGGCCTGGACGGCGGGAGGGTGAACATCGGGGCATGCAGGTGCGTGGGTCCTCTCTTCACCGCACTTCACCGCTGCTCACTGCACCTCAACCCGCCTCATTGCACACCCCACCTTTCCCTTCCCCAGTTCTTGATCTGTCCGTCCATCTGTGAACTGTGTGGAAATACCGTCCGTATGTTCTAGGCTCCAAACAAATGGTTTCTACTCCTCCCCTCTCTCTCTCCCCTCTCCACGGTTCTGTGCAGTGTGGGAGGGGCACAGTTCTGTCTCGAGTATGCTCAGCAGTATGCAACAGACAGGAAACAGGTAGGCTTGCTTGCACCACCCGTCTTCCTCCTCTTTTTCCTCCCACCACCCGTCTTCCTATTTTTCCTCCCGCCTCTCTTCCTCTCTCCTCTCCCACATGCAGTTCGGCAAGCCAATCGCAGCATTCCAGAACTGACATGTCACCAGCAGTAGCAGCAGCTTCGCCCTCTTGCTGCTACTGTCACTTTCTTCTACAACTTCCCACCGCTCCATCTCTCTTCCCTCCCATAAACCCGAAACCACCACCTGCCTGACTGAATCCACCTCTTTTCTTAGTATTACCTCCTCCCGTTGGGCAGTTCGGCAGGCAAATCACGGCCTTCCAGAACACGCAGTTTCAACTGGCAGACATGGCAACAGCAGTGGACCCCGTCTTCCTGTTGCTGCTAGCTTGATAGTGCTGAGTCCTCCTCTCTACCCTTCCTCTTCCCTTCCGCCCCTCATTGTTCAGTTCGGCAAGCCACTCACGTCCTTCCAGAACACACAGTTTCAACTGGCCGACATGGCAACAGCGGTGGAGGCATCTCGCCTGATGGTTCGCAGCGCTGCCACTGCCATCGATGTGAAAGCGCCCTGGGCTACCACAGCCGCTGCAATGGCTAAGAGGTGGGTGTGCTGGTGTCTATATATCGAGACACCCTAAAACGAGTACTGTGTCATGGCAACAGCGGTGGAGGCATCTCGCCTGATGGTTCGCAGTGCTGCCACTTCCATTGATGGCAAGGCGCCCTGGGCTACCACAGCCGCTGCCATGGCCAAGAGGTGAGTTCTTGGTGGGTGCTGTGCTGTGTGGGTGTGGAATCAGCACCCTCTGGGTGGCAACAGCACCCTCTGACTGGCAACAGCAGTGGAGGCATCTCGTCTGATAGTTCGCAGCGCTGCCACTGATGTCAAGGCTCCCTGGGCCACCACAGCCGCTGCCATGGCCAAGAGGTGAGTTCTTGGTGGGTGCTGGGTGGGTGTGGAATCAGCATCCTCTGCCATGGCTACAGCAGTGGAGGCATCTCGCCTGATGGTTCGCATTGCTGCCACTTCCATTGATGTGAAAGCACCCTGGGCCACCACCGCTGCTGCCATGGCTAAGAGGCGGGTGCTGGGTAAATGCTGTGTGGGTGTGGAATCAGCATCCTCTGCCATGGCTAAGAGGTGGGTGCTGTTATCTATATATCGAGTCATCTTAAAACGATCACTGTGAGTTGGTAGCAGAGGTGGAGGCATCTCGCCTGCCCGTTCGCAGCGCTGCCACTGCCATCGATGTCAAGGCGCCCTGGGCCACCACCGCTGCTGCCATGGCCAAAAGGTGAGTGTTGTTGACTGGCATGTCATGGCCAAGAGGATAATGGTGACACCTGGAAAGGATTACTGTGACATGGCTACAGCGGTGGAGGCATCTCGCCTCATGGTTTGCAGTGCTGCCACTGCCATTGATGTTAAAGCCCCATGGCGTGGGCCACCACAGCTGCTGCCATGGATAAGAGGTGGGTGTTCGGTTGTTTGTATCGAGGCACTCTAAAACGAGTACTGTGAAATGGGGACAGCAGTGGAGCTATCGCGCCCTGGGCCCACAGCTCCTGCTATGGCTAAGAGGTGGGCGTTGGGTGGGTGTGGGAACAGCACCCTCTGAGTGGCAGGGGCATCTTTCCCCTGGTGTCGTGGTAACAGCAGTGGAGCTATCACACCCTGGGCCGCCACAGCTGCTGCCATGGCCAAGAGGTGGCCGCTGGATGGGTGTACAAGTGCCCCACTGTGGTTCGGTTCGGTTCGGTTCGGTACCTGATGGTGTTGTTTTGAGTCGACTCAACACAAGAGGTGGCCGCTGGATGGGTGTACAAGTGCCGCATTGTGGTTCGGTTCGGTTCGGTTCGGTTCGGTTCGGTTCGGTTCGGTTCGGTACCTGATGGTTCGCAGCACTGCCACTGCGATCGATGTCAAAGCGCAATGGGCAGTGCCCACCATAGCGGCCACAATGAGAAAGAGGCAAGTAAAGTAGGGAGTCGGAAGGAGCGTAGATATGAGACTTAGTCCCGTCCCCCCCCCTCCTGCTCTCTCGGCCCCTTCACGTGCCTCTCTCTGTTTCCCCCAGGTTTGCGACAGATCACTGTTACCAGGTAGCCAATCAGGCGTTACAGATGCTCGGAGGTTATGGGTTTCTGTAAGATTACCCCGAACGTTGCTTTCCACCGTTTGTGTGTCTCTCCGTTTTCCCATCAGGTTTGCAACTGACAACTGTTACCAGGTAGCCAATCAGGCGTTACAGATGCTCGGAGGTTATGGGTTTCTGTAAGATTACCCCGAACGTTGCTTTCCACCGTTTGTGTGTCTCTCCGTTTCCCCATCAGGTTTGCAACTGACAACTGTTACCAGGTAGCCAATCAGGCGTTACAGATGCTCGGGGGCTATGGGTTCCTACAAGATTACCCCGTACGTTGCTTTCCTCCCCCACCCCCCTCTGCATGAGGGTGTGTTTTTCCGCTCCTGTTACTGGGACATAATGTTTCCATATGTATACTTATGCATACACACTCACACGCACGCATGCACGCACGCACACACACACACACAAACTACACCTCCCCCTCCCCCCCCCCACACACACACAAACCGCACACATGCACACTCACACTCACACACACACACACACACACACACACACACACACACATGGTCGCGCATATGCACTAACAAGCTATGCATGTATCCAACACATCGTTATACTTGTGTCCAGGTGGAGCGATACTTGAGGGATCTTCGAGTGCACACCATTCTAGAGGGGACAAACGAGATCATGCGCCTCATCATAGCACGGCGTCTCTTACAGCCATGATACTGCCATTGTATCGCTGTCGCTGTACATATTGCTTGATGTACTATGCGTTAAACCACATATTGTATATATTGCTTGATGTACTACGTGTTAAACCGTGGAAGAAGAGTATCGTTCTTACCGGTACCTCCCTATAGCATGTTTGTACAAATGACATCCTGTCAGCCTATCATGAAGAAGGGAATAGCACATAAATGCACGAATTCAAAGAGACAAATAATGTGCACCATAGCAAACTAGCTTGGAAAGTGATAAAGCACAGCTGAGAAGGGCCGATACATTCACTATGAAGGTATCCGAGGGTGGGAGGAAATCTGAGAGTGATGCACGGTGGGAGGCAAGGAGGTCTGCGGTTGTATTAGTACATAGTAGTCCAGATGGCCACATCGCTAACCAACCATAAAAAGAATACCTTCCATGTATTTGCAAAGTACAATTGATGCCTGTTTGAGCCCCTCCCGGTTGCCTTGTGAAGGGGGCGTATAAGATGTAACGAACATTTCGCATAAGTTTCGTCAATTCGCAGCTAGCTAAAAAGGATTCGCAGGTGCTTATAAACAAGATCTGTTACCTTATTTGACTTCAGTCTCTTCTGCTTGACCTCGGTCTGTTCGTCACTATTGGTTGATAACCACGCGACGCGCTTATAACGTGGGAGCAACATGCTGGGGAAACAACCTCGGGTGCAGCGTTTCCATCCGGCGCAAGGCAAATCCGCGTGCACTGGTTGGGCATCAATTGTACACCCTCATTCTCACCTTTCTCACCATCGCGCGCACTGTGTACAGTGCGAACAGCTAGCGCGATGGTGCCCTTAACCGTTTCACAGGCAATTGTGAAGTTGGCGACAAACCAGGGTTGAGGTGGCAAAATCAAACAGTGTCCGCGCATTGCAAATGGCAAAATGCTACAGTAACAACAAAATTGCAATTGCAGACGCCCTGTCATTGTGATTTCGGTCGGTTCGTCTCATTCGTTGTCAGACGTGCAGTCAACAAGATCGGCCAGCTGGCTGGTATGATTGAGGCGACAAATTGTGCTTGTATGCATTGTGATAAGACCTCCTTTGGTGCGTTGCTGTCAGTCAAAGCGTAGCGGTCAGTCTAACATATGCCAGTCTATCGAGAATGAGGGTGTACCATATTGTGCAGTAAAGTGCGTTTCCTCGTATGCCGTCTGGATTAAAGTGGGGGAAACAGGAAATGCCTCGAACCGAGAAACAGCCCTTACGACCCCTACACACCGCACGTGCTTCTTGAGTTGAATGCATGGGTAGGGCCGACAACAGCTCCTCCCGTTGGCTGAAACCTCAGCTTTGAGGAGACCGGATTGGAGGGGACCCCATCCCACCTGCGTTTGTGGATTGCGATTGGAAATCAAACACCTCACTCAGCTTGGTCATCACGCGCCATACACCTAGTCCGCGGTATTTTAACCGCCGCTATCTTAACCATGCGGGGGTACTACTCCGTGGTCAAGTTTGAATACAAGGGTAGTTTAACCGATTTATGAGGGTAGAGTTACGCGTCCCCTTCGCGAGGTCACGTCAGTTGCAACTCTTATGATGGCAAAGCGCCCCCAATTTCGGAGCACTAAGTGTGGGTTTTCCAAAATAGAAGTGTCCCGGCTGTATTATAATAGTCCCGAAGTCTCTGGGTGCCCATCCCATTGGACGAAAATGCACACAGGATGTTTTAAACAAAAAAGTTCACGTGGTTAAAATACCGCGGACTAGGTGTAGCAAGTCATCAGCCGACAGCTGTACGACTCGCTTTGCTTTCTAGCCGCCCTGCATTGCATGCTTTATTGCATGCTTTTATTGTATGTGAGATCGCTTTTATTGCATGTGAGATCGCTTTCTTTATGGGTGGTGCGGTGGAGGGGTGGACACAATCTGGACTGGACTGAATTTTGAGCAGGCGGTGTGTTTGCCTTAGTCCCCAGAACCTGACCGAGACGTTTGAGCAGGTGGTGAATTTGATTTCCGCTAGTGGAAGAGGAACCTCACCCCCCCCAGCCCAACATATACTTCGTTCTCCGAATACAATCCGGTGACCTGGTGTGGTGTGGTGTGGTGTGCTTGCCTTGCTGCCAGGGAAGCGGGGACGGATGCGAGGAATGGCGGTGAATGAGCACACATGGCGGTGGACTGGGCAGCTGGGCCTCTCTTGTTCATGAGGAGGAGCCTTGGGGGCTTGTTGTACGCGAAACCCAATGGTAAAAGCGTGCTCGAAGTACTGCACCAGCTCGACGTCGAAGTACGTCGGTAAATCGTGACGGTTGGAACCGTAGATCCGAGGGTTGAAATTCACCGACGTACTTCGACGTCGAGCTGGTGCAGTACTTTGAACACGCTTTAAAGCGACGGGCAACTTTTGGCAGTGTTGGGTTCAGAAGTTTTTTTTTTTGAACGAGGCTTGCCAGCGCGAAAGTGCTGGCTGGCGAAAACCAGGATTTCGTGCGGACACTTTCCATCCGCAGTAACAGTTCGCCAGGGTTCTGGGTTTTGGGTGGCAAATGTGCACCTTTTGAAAGCTACCATTGGGATTTGATCGACTTAGGAACATATACAGGTCGGAGCGTTCACCATCGTCCCATGGAATAACGAAGAGGCAGAGTGCATATGCGGCTCTGCTGCACTGGCTCGTGCGCTGGCATGGTCCTAAGAATGCTGAGACAGCATATCCCGCCCCTTGTCGGATAAAGCATGTTGCTGCCTCATTCCAGAATCTATGGTGCGGTGTGGTGGACCCATGATTTTATATTTCCCAGCACTTTAGCGCAAAATGCCCGCATCCGCCGCTGCCAGCGCGACAGCCGCCGCCATGGCTACCCGGTCTGATTTAGGAGCTAGAAACAGGAATGTGTGGTAAGAGACGCACCGCTATCCTCCGGCGATTTTGCTGAGCTGCGAGTCTCGCTAGTGCACCCCTGCTCTGCTGGGGAACCGACATCGTGAAAAATCTCTGGAACACATGCTCGTATCAGTAATATCGTACAAGAAAGTCAAAGAGCCCTGTTTTATTGAGTCTTACATCAGCTCCTCACATTAATTCGTTACCTCCATCACCACGGGACCAGACTGGCTTGTAACCGACGATTAAGATTTGAAGGATGATTTTGTTGAGGCCTCCACGTCCCTGATCTGTTGAGACGCCTCAGGAACAGTCCTAGTTTCCACTCCGTAGCTCGTTACTGATAATAAGTCGTTCAACATATTGAATTCGACCGTTCAGGGGGAATGGAATAAGCACGCGAAACAACCCACACAGCCCGCGACCATTACTGACTCTGTCCTCTGAGTAAAGCTCGCTCGAAGCGGTTTGAGTATTGTGATTTTTTCTTTTGTTTCTGAAAATATATCCGTGTTCAGTACGCGTCCGTCTCCGCGTCCCGGCGGCTGGTGCTCCGAAATATTCCTTTCCGCCGCGAAGCGCGGAGCGCTAGGGCTGCGACGGGCATTGCGGAGGAGTCGTGTCACTGCTGTCGCCGAGGTTCGACGATACGCAGGGGCGGCGTCGCCGTCAGCGAGCTATGCGACCTGCGCTGCGACAGATGCGGCGTGCGACGCAAGCGACAGATGCGGCGTGCGACGCAAGCGACAGATGCGGCTGTTTAGTAGCGTTTACCTGAGAACGGAGGCTCACGGCCAACGGCTCACCTCGCCAGTTCGGCCTAACGCTCAATCTCCACCACGGAATGGGCCCTGCCGCCGCCAGCAGCGCCGCCACACCTCATGTTCCTCAGTTCGGTGCTTCTACTACTAGTGAATGTCACGGAGCTGTTGTACGCGTTAGAAGCTTGCCAGATTGTTCCCTTGACGATGCTTCGTTCGACGCGTCCCTTCACGGTTCGTTGAACAGCGGTAATACCCCCGTTAGTATCACATTCCGGCGCCTTCCGTTGTATCGAAGTCGATTGAGCCTCGATAATGGCAGCTCGACGAGCGCAACAAGCGCTGCCAGCTCGTTACTCCCGGGCGCCTCGGCGGGCGACGGCTCGCGATTCTTTTTCTCCCCGTCGCACACTCGCGAGTCCATTCGCGCGGATCGCGATTTGCGACTGTCGCGAGTCAACAGCGACGCGGCGTACGCGAAGCTGGCAGCCTCGGGCGAAATCATCGCCGCGGGTTACTTCACAAGAGAAAACGAAGCCGCAACCGAGACGGGAAAGTCAGCACTATGCGCGGATCCATGGAGACGCCAAGGAAATGCAGAAATCGCGGCGGCGGCGCCGGCGGAATCGTCGGCGGAAGATGCGGAGGTGGTGTTGGGAGCGGCGAGAGCAAGAAGTGTCGGTCTAGGGTTTACTACGGAAAGCAGTGGGGCTGTTTTCAGCTTAAACCGCATGAGCAGTCTCAAGGAAGCAGGGATTGCGGCGGAACTGGCGTCGTCGTCGGCGGGAAACGTCGCGGGCGAGGCGAGGCGCCTCTTGCGCCAGGCGGAAAGCATGAAAGCGCGAAAAGCTGCGTACGACTACTTTTTTCACAGCCCTTCCGCCGCCCTGCCCGGCGTCGACTTGCCCGTTGACTCGTCAAAATCCCGCGCCGCCGTGCTGCCGGCGTGGGACTCCTTCAATCCGCTTTTCTCCGACCGCGAATGGCGGCTCTACGCCGTATCCGACGACCCCGGCGGCGGCGGCGGCGGCGTCGGTGGCGGGGAGGGACGCGCCGCGGAGGGATGTTTGGGGGAAGGGACGAGGGGCCGGGGAGGGTCGTTACGGCAAAGATTTTCGAGAGGATGAGTCGTCTGGATTCGGCATGTTCTCTTCGCGCAACGGGCGAAGCAGCCCGTCGTTCTTCTCCCCTCCCCGCCGCGTTTTGAGGCGCCTCAAAAGTCGTGAGGACGAGTCATCTGGATTCGGCATGTTTTCATCGCGCAAGGGGAGAAGCAGCCCGTCGTTCTTCTCCCCTCCGCGTCGCCACGACAGCAGCGTGTGCGCGCACCATGACATTGAGAACCCCCCCAAGCCCTTCTCCCCCCGTCCGCGCCACAGCGCCTCCCCTCCGCGCCACAGCGCCTCCCCTCCGCGCCACACCGCCTCCCCTCCGCGCCACAGCGCTTCCCCTCCGCGCCACAGCACCTGCGCTGTCCAATCCGCAGAGCCCTTCTCGTTCCCCTCTTCGCACCAGGTTTCCGCCAGGACAGCGAGTGAAGAGTCTCCATTCACCAGCCGCAAGGGGGGTAGCAGCAGCAGTTCCGTCGTCACCCCTCTGCATCGCCGCAGCAGCAGCTCACCACCTCTGCCGTTGCCACAGGGGCAGGGGCAGGGGCACGGGCACGGGCACGGGCACGGGCACGGGCACGAGCACAGGCAGGGGCACGGGCAGGGGCACGGGCAGGGGAGAGAAGAAGAGACACCCGCGGAGATAACTCGGAAAAAGTCTCTGGATTCGCTTCAGCAGCACTATGAGCTGCACCAGGTTTCGGTTTTGCCTTTGAAGCTTATACCGAATCGCATGTACTCGTTTGAAGCCCCTTGGACTGCGTTCAAGTTCCCTGACATGACCTCTACTGAAAGCTCCACCCCTGCTTCCGAAACAGCACCTGCGTCCGAAGCTGCTCCCGAACCTGCGTGCCAAGCTCCTGCCTGCGTGCACGAGCCTGCTGCTCACCGAAGCAGCTCTGGGCTTGGCACTGCAACTGCACTCGGAACCAATCTCCTTGAAAACAAGCGCACTCCCGCAGCCGCTGCCGCCGCTGCTGCAGCTGTCAATGCTGCTCCTCCTCCCCCTGACCTGCACCCTCGAGAAAGAACTCGTGTGCAATCCTGTAGCGGCATTGCTGATATTCCCTTCCAGCCGTTTTTTTCTGCCGGGTCTACACCCGTCAGTGGGCTCGTTGGACTCATTCCCTGGTCCGCTTCCTGTGCTTCTGACGTGGCTATGGCTGTGGAAGATTGCAGTATTGCCAGCAACTGCAGCAGCAGCACTCGTGATGGCAGTGGCAGTGGTATTAATATTGGTGCTGGTGTTGGCAGCAAGGGCAGCAGAAGGCGAGGGTTCAGCATGCAGGGCAGCAGTGCTAAGAGCGGCAGTGTCAAGAGCAACAACATTGATACTGGAAACAGCCGGAGCAGCAGCAGGAGGAGGAAGAGCGGGAGCAGCAGGAACAGCAGCAGCAGCAACTGCAGCAGAATCAGCAAGGAAAACGGCGAGAGTCTGACCAGCCGGCAAGACACCAGCAGCAGGTGCTCTCCACGCGAAGTGCTGCAACGGTTGTGGAAGGGAGGAGGGACGGACGAGCAGGCTGAGCGGTTACACAAGGACATTGAGGGAAAAGACAAGGAAAGAGTGTTAGAGAGGCAGGAAAGCAGTGCAGGAGGTGCTAACGGAGATGGGATGAAGGGAGGAGGGGTGGAGGGAAGGGAGGGGTTCACATGGCATGGGGCAACAGATGCACAGGAAGCACTTGCAGGGGCCCCCAGGCGTGACAGGTTTAGGGCAAGATTGAAGAGATGGTTGCCCAAAATGAAAGGACTGTGAATGGAAATGAGATAGTGGTACACTTTTGCTGTGTCAAAGCCGTTTTTTAATCAATAAATCGAATCACAAGTCAAATAAATAACAATGAACCACAACATCCTACCAGGCATGCATGTTTTACCCCCCTCCTAATCCTACTATGGCTTGCCCTCGTTCAGAGAAGCAAACGCACTGATCATCTGATCTGACACATCAAGTCACTCAGCTTGCTTTTTTCCCAAGCAGCTGGCGCCACCACTTAGGCTTGGAAGGTCCGCCAAACGACCCAGCAGTTGCCAAAACCCCTGCCTTACCCTTCTGTTTAAGCACTGCACTCGATAGTGTCCTTTTCAAGCATGCGCCCTTGTTGCTTCTGCACTCAGATCTGGTACTCTCAGACGTGGGTGTGGCTGGTTCCTCATCTTCCACATCCTCGTTAAAAACCACCTCGTCCGCTTCTGTACAGGTCGCAACAGCAGCTGGTGGAGAGCTGCTGCTTTCGAAGCAAATTTCGTCCGCACACGCAAATGGGTCGGACACGGGGACGAAAACCAATCCCGAGGTTCCGTCCCGTAGCTTTCTCGTTCTCGCGAGAGCGCGTTCTCGAGGCGAGTCTGGAGCCCGAATCGCCTCGGGAGAGTCAGAGGGAGGGATGAAAACAACCCCCGATGCTCCTTCTCTGTATTTCCTCGTCCTCGCGAAAGCCCGTGTCCCTGCCGCTGCTGCTGCTGCCGTCAACTCAGCCAGTGATCCTTCCCCATCCGCACCATGCTCCGCCACATTCTCACCCTCTTCCTGTGCCTTCTGCTCCACCTCCTCCCCATCCTCATCCTGCTCCTGTTCCTCCTCTGTTCTTCTCCTACCTTCCCAGCGCTGCACCTGGTTGCGAGTCGCCTCGACGGGCATCGCTCCAAGCCTCACGCCGTATCGGCCGCGCGGCTGCTGCTGCTGCTGCTGCTGCCGGCCGTAATGCTGCGGCTGCTGATACTCGCTATAGAATCGATGCGAGTGGTGCCAATCCACAGCCCCGATCTCAATCCCGTCGGTGTCATTTCCCACCTCATCATCCCCAGCGTCGAGCAACAAGCCTTGTAACGAATTGTGCTGAAACGGATCTTGCTGATGACTGAAACTCCGGCGGGATGGCGAGAAAAATCCCGGGCTCGAGGGAGAGAGGCGGGGAGACGACTCGGCTGACGACAACTCGGCACCCGTCCATGTGTCACCGCCAAACCCGCTGTTACATCCCTGAACAAATTCACCCCCATTTCCGGCGTCAAAAGCGCCGTCAACCCCGCCGTCAAGCCCGCTGCTGAGTCTGCTGCTCGCCCTCTCGCTGCTCGACGACTCGTGACTCAGATTAGTCACGGCGGTGGTCCACGTGCTGTTTGACACGTGGCTGCCGCTGCTGCTGCCTGTCGATGTTGACGTGGCGAACCGCGCGGTGGCGATGGCCCTGCTGACCACGGTAGCTTTGGCAGCACCTGAGGTAGAATGCATGGGTTCAGCTGCTGCTGACGTGGCATCAGTTAGCGATTCGGCCGGGTTGCATGAAGTTTCGAGGAAGGCAGCGGCAGGCCTGTCGTCGACGGGAGAAACTGGTAACGAGGGAGACGCGGGAGGAGACGCGGCAGCGGCAAAATTCGCCGCGCAGCCCTCAACACCGCCTATAGCATCTTCTCCAGCAGTAGTAGCAGCAGCAGCAGGGGCAGGGAGAAGCGAGACCGGAGCACCTACGAGGGGCGACACCGCTCTAGCTATGACCGTTATAGACGTAACGCGTTGAAGCGGAACGAGTTCTTCCGGTCGTTGATGAGCTTGGGTATTTGCATCAAGTTGATGCGAATCACGGGAATGACTATATGGGGGATGGGAATGATGGGAAGGATAAGCCGGAGGGCCAGGATGAGAATCACCATCGTCAGAATATCTGACCGCCGCCCAAAAATCTTCCTCAGATATGCTCACCCGCCTAGCGCTGCCGCCCCTGCCGCTCAGGTTAGTACCAGCAACAGTAACCCCGCAGCTGAAGCTCCCGCTTCCCCCGCCGTTCAAACTTCCGCTTCCCCCACCGTAACTTCCGCTTCCGCCGCCGAAACTGCCGCTGTCGCCGCTGCCGCTGTCCCTGCTCCCGAGTACGCCCCTCAAGCGAAACAAGTTACTGAAGGTTTCGCCAGCGGATCCTTTCGCAGGGACACGAAAAAAGCTCCCGCTCCCGTCGTCGCCGAGGTCGCACGACCCGTCGCTGAGCAAGCCGATGCTTCCTTGTCGCTCAAACAAAAAGAACGAATCGCGCGCACTCGTCGACGCCGCGGCGTGCGACGGGGAGAAAAAAGAAGGCGATTCGCACGACGACGCCGCGACAGCCGCTTCCATTTTCAATCTCCGTAAAAGGTCGATTCGTGGCGACTGGCTCGTCAGAAACGTCACGTCAGCACCGCTGCTCCCAAGACCGCTGCCGCTTAATCCACCCGTGAGGGGACAATCCCCCATACCAACCCCGCCGTCGACGCTCGTTCCCGGCGGCAGCGACCATCGCTGCGCAGAAAGCCGTGCGCCGTTCGCTGTGCCTCCGCTCCGGGAGGAAAAATCTCCGCCGGGGGCGGGGGAAGCAGGAGAACACGTCCCGTCGCCGGGATAAGCGGCGGTTTCCACGGGGTCCTCGCGGGGCCTTCTGCTAAGAGGGCTGTTGGAGGCGGGAATGGCGGAATGGGCGGGGGACCTTGGCGCAATGGCATGAAAAGTGGGGAAGTCTCCGGAAAAAGAGCGCGAGTGTCTGTGCCGTGGAGCGCGGCGGCACTCGGCGGCGCGCTTGCCGCGGGGAGAAAACGAGCGTTCGCGCGGACTGCAGGCATCGGCGGAAGGTGCGGTGGCGGCGACAGCCGGGACCGCTCCCACTCCGCCAAAGTCACCAGCGGTCGGCGCGGCGGATGATGCGGCGGGTGGTACAGCGGGTGATCCGGCGGGTGGTGCGGAGCATCCTGTAGCAGCGGCGGACGAGCGCGAAAGGCGCGATCCTCCGGCAGTGGACTGAAGATGGTGCGATGCTGACATGGTTGGAAGCATTCGCGGCGCCGAAGCGCGCAAAACCTGTGGCGACATGAAGCTGGTTTAGAGCCTAGGCGAAATGGGTCGAGGCGGAGTGCGGGCGGGACAGTGGGAAGGAACACACAATGCGAGAAACACTCAACAACGCCAGGAACAATGGGAACAAGTGGGCTGGGACTGACCTAGTACTCTAGACGCTTGAAAAACATGTCTCAGTTACTGTGGATACTATATGGCCGCCGGCTCTTAACTAATTACAGCAGTGAGCTTACGTAACTGGATCTCATAAATTGGCGTTTCGAAGTTGGGACACCATAACGACGGGGACTAGTCCTGGAGTGGTTTGGACTAATGGGCAAGACAAACGACCAACTAAGAGTCTCGTAACCGCTGAGTGAGAAGAACCGGTCCTGCAAGTTCGCGTCCTTTTTTCACTTTCACGCGTAGGACCAGCGGTAACACTCTGCTGTAAACATGAAGCAGCAACTCCTGCAAACAACACACACGGTGCGCGCTCAACTATGGTGCACTGTACTGCATTTCAGCTGCACCGTGTCTCACGCCGAAGTTCCACGGAACAGGTGAGTCATATGATCAAGGGATGGTAAAATTCGGCAATATCGAACAGTATTTCGCTGAATTTACTCGAAACCGGAGTGCAACCTTTTGAGACACGCCAAACCCCGCAAGAACGAAACTGAAGAGGATCGAACTTGATGGTGGGAAAATTTATCCAACCCCTCAACATTAAAGCTTTTGTATACATTTGAAAGAGGGAGGTTCAAAAGTTTTGAAATTTGAAAGATTGGTAACCCTATTACAGCCAGTTCACTCGCTCTACAAGGGAGGGATATCTCCCCGACTCCCAGCACTCACAGGTGATTCAAAACTTTTGGGTCGACAAAAGTATACGAAATCCAACCTTTGTGAGATCTACGCCACTAGGCTCTACAGGCAGCATAATACGTAGCTAAGCACGCGACTCAACCGCCAGCGTAAATTACCCCCGTTTCTGACACAAACCTAGACGCGTAGGGCATTTTAGTAAAATTATAGGGATAAGCCAACTTCAGTTTCGCCCTCTCACGCGGCGATCCCGCCGGACCTTCCCTCATGGCCTCGCCTCCCCGTCCGTCGCGTCGTCTCAAACTGCCGAACACGGACGATCACAGTCGCGGCTCGATCGCACAGCCTCGCTACCACGTTTCCGCACTAGCCCCGGCAGCCGCACTTGAGGTCGCGAACGACTGCAGAAACGGGAGCTCCCAACACCATCCCGCCTCCTCGTTTCCCCTTCTCGCCACCCGAATTCGCGTTCCCGCCTCCCCGTTTCCCCTTTCCGCTCCCCATTACCCCTTCCCGCCTCCCCGTTTCCCCTTTCCGCTCCCCATTACCCCTTCCCGCCTCCCCGTTTCCCCTTTCCGCTCCCCATTACCCCTTCCCGCCTCCCCGTTTCCCCTTCCCGCCTCCCTAATTCCCCTTCCTGCTCCCCATTACCCCTTCCCGCCTCCCCGTTTCCCCTTCCCGCCTCCCCAATTCCCCTTCCCGCCTCCCGTTTCCCCTTCCAGCTCCCCATTTCCCCTTCCCGCCGCCTCATTTCCCCTTCCCGCCTCCCCATTACTCATTCCCACCTCCCTGCTTCCCCTTCCCGCTCCCCATTACCCCTTCCCGCCTCCCCGTTTCCCCATCCCGCTCCCCATCTCCCCTTCCCGCCTCCCCATCACTCATTTCTTTGAACCATTTTCGTCCTTCCACCTCCTATGCATCTCCTTTCCCTACCTATGCATCAGCTATCCCTACCTATTCATCTCTCTTCCTTGCCTTAGCATCACCTCTCATCCCATCCCCTTCAAACCCCTCTCATCCCATCCCCTTCAAACCCCTCTCATCCCATCCCCTTCCAGCCCTTCTCATCCCATCCCCTTCAAACCCCTCTCATCCCATCCCCTTCAAACCCCTCTCATCCCATCCCCTTCAAACCCCTCTCATCCCATCCCCTTCAAACCCCTCTCATCCCATCCCCTTCAAACCCCTCTCATCCCATCCCCTTCCAGCCCTTCTCATCCCATCCCCTTCAAACCCCTCTCATCCCATCCCCTTCAAACCCCTCTCATCCCATCCCCTTCAAACCCCTCTCATCCCATCCCCTTCAAACCCCTCTCATCCCATCCCCTTCCAGCCCTTCTCATCCCATCCCCTTCAAACCCCTCTCATCCCATCCCCTTCAAACCCCTCTCATCCCATCCCCTTCAAACCCCTCTCATCCCATCCCCTTCCAGCCCTTCTCATCCCATCCCCTTCAAACCCCTCTCATCCCATCCCCTTCAAACCCCTCTCATCCCATCCCCTTCCAGCCCCTTCGATCCTCTTTCAGTCCCTCCCACCCCGGCAATAAAATATCTAGAGGGTGTGTTGAATCGTATGCATTCCCCCTAATGCCCTCCTCCCTGTACTGCCGATCTCCTTATTTGCGTGACGTTCACACCCACTCCATCCCATCCTGGCCCTCCCGTACCCTTCTCATCGTTCTCTGCATCCTGAGCATCCTCTATTGACGTCCCCAGCTTTTACTCTGGAAAATGGGTTTCCAAATAATTCTTTTTATGTATTTAGTGTAATGGGAAATGAGAAATCGTTACACCAAACTTGTTGAAGTGCAGATACCTAAATGGACAATGAAACTCATAAAAGTTCCTAATATCGTACGGCTAAGCGAGCTCGACAACACACAATTGGAAGTGTATGCATGGGGGTTGAATCACAATTAGAAGCCGTCAACTAAGCAAGATGCCGCACGTGCTGTAGGGTTTGCTGTCGCATGCCTGGCATTGGTGTGTAGCAGAGGGGAGCGAGAGTGTGGGCCGCTTGGTGGACCTGCTAGTGAGAGGAGTGGGGGGATTGGGATAGAGGTTGTGGGGGTCTTGTGCCTGAGGAAGGAACACTGGCAGAGGCAGCAGGGGCAGCTCCGGCAATGGCAGCAGCAGTGACAGTAGGGGTAGGGACAGAAGAAGTAGGCGCAAAGAGAGAGGTGCACGAGTGGCCGCATTTGTGCCTGAGCCAAAAAAACAGGTGCGGAGCAAGGAAAGGGTGGGCATGAGAGGGGTGGGGATGGGTGTGGGCATCGGAAGGTGGGCATGGAGATGGGAGAGCGTGGAAGGGAGAATGGAAAGGAGGGAGTGGGGGCCATCACGAACAATGGAACCACCCTGTAAGGAGGGGGAGCAAGGAGGGGGGAAGAAGGGGAGAAGGGGGGAAAATGAACGGTTGAAGGGGGGAAATGAGAGGGAAGCAGGGGAACTGAGAGGGAGAAGGGGGAAACGATGGTGAGCAAGGGGGAAATGAAAGGGAGTAGGGGGGAAAATGATAGGGAGAAGGGCGGGAATGAGGGTGGGAAGAGGGCGAAGTGAGAGGGAGAAGGGGGGTAAGTGAGGGGGAGCAGGGGGAGAACTGAGGGCGAGAAGGGGGGGGGGGATGAGAGGGAGCAAGGGGGGAAATGAGAGGGAGAAGAGGGGGGGGGGAAGAGAGGGAGAAAAGGGGGATTTGAGAGCTAGAAGGGGGGGATTTGAGAGGGGGAATGGGGACAAAATGAGATGGAGCAAGGGGGGAAAGGAGAGTTGAGAAGGGGGGGAAATGAGGGGGAGAAGGGGGGAAAATGAGGGGGAGAAGAGGGGGAAATGAGAGGGAGAAGGGGGGAGGGGATGAGAGGGATGAGGGGGGGATTAAGAACGAGAAGAGGGGATATGTGGGGGAGAAGGGGGGGGGAATGAGAGGGAGCAGGAGGGGGAATGATGGTGAGTAGGGGGGGAGCTGAGAGGGAGCAAGGGGGGAAATGAGAGGGAGCAAGGGTGGAAGTGAGAGGGAGTAGGGGGGAAAATGAGGGCGAGAAGGGGGGGGGGGATGAGGGGGTGAAGGGGGGGGGGTGAGAGGGATAAGAGGGGGATTTGAGAGCGAGTCGGGGGGAATTTGAGAGGGGGAGAAGGGGGGGAAATGAGAGAGAGAAGGGGGGTTAATGAGAGGGAGGAGGAGGGAAATGAGAGGGAAAAGGGAGGAACATGAGAGGGAGAAGGGGGGGAAATGAGGGGGAGAAAGGGGGAGATTAAAGGGAGAAGGGAGGGTAATAAGAGGGAGAAAGGGGGGAAATGAGAGAGAGAAGTGGGTGAAATCAGGGGGACCAGGTCGGGAAATGAGAGGGAGAAGGGGGGAAATGAGGGGGACGAACGAGAGAAGGCGGTCCCGATGAAAGCGAGACGTTTTGACGAACGAAGTGGCTTGTGAGGCGAGCAGCGCGTGAGACGAGCAGCGTGTGAGGCGAGCAGCGCGTGAGACGAGCAGCGTGTGAGGCGAGCAGCGCGTAAGGCGCGCAACGAGTGAGGCGCGCAGCGCGTGAGGCACGCAGCCCGTGAGGCGAGTCGCGGGTGAGGCGCGCAGCGCGTGATGCGAGCAGCGGGCGATGCGAGCAGCGGGTGATGCGAGCAGCGGGCGATGCGAGCAGCGGGTGATGCGAGCAGCGGGTGATGCGAGCAGCGGGTGATGCGAGCAGCGGGTGATGTTAGCATCGGGTGAGGCGAGCCGCGGGTGAGGCGCTAAGCTGTAAGCTGGTGAGGCGCGCAGCGGGGTAGGCGAGAAGCAGGTGACGTGCTAAGAGGGTGTCGCGAGCTGCTTGTTCGGCGAGAATTACTTGGCGAGGACAACGAATGGATCGCGGCGAACCCGCCTAATGCTATTGAATGATCCAGACGGCGCTGGAGCTGAAGGGAGTTGGCGGGCACTAGACGGTCCTTGTCGTGACTACGTGTGCAATCTAACACCAGCGACTGTGTAAGTGGTTGCGCTGTTCCAGTCACTGCCTCGTCGCCTCCCGTGTAGTTCTATCGCAGCCCCGTTAGTAACATCGCGACTTGTTTTTGTATCAGTGAGCACCATTTTGTAGTTTGGGTGACGGGAGGGTGTTTATGCCCTGACAACGCAACCCTCACTGGACGCTTCAAATTTTCGCCAACCTCTCGCCAAGCTCATTCGATCTCGTTGTGGCGACATCTTTTTGGACACTGTTCAAACCGCAACAGTACTTTCAAATGTATACAAAAGCTTTAAATTCCGCCATACAGTACAGCACACCAAAATTTGGGCTTGTGCACAGGTGCTGCAGCACGTGAAACGAGGCGGGAAAACGGGCAGCGTCCAGTGATCGTCGTTGTGGTGCGTCAGCATGCGACGCGATTGTCCATAACCCTGAAGGGTCCTAGTTGTAGTCACTGAACGAGACTTTCAGGTACGAACGAGCACATCAGCAGCATCCACAGCTACGTACGACCGTACGATAGTGAGGAAAGCAAGGAGGGACGAGGAAGAATCAAGGGCCGACGAATGATGCGAATGGGTCTCTCTGAATTGACTGCGAAAGGAGCGGAGGTGGAGATGGGGAGAAAGGGAGTTACGCAGGGGGGGATAGGGAGGGGGTGGGGTGATGTTTTGGGGATGGATGGATGATGGATGGAGTGGAGTGTGTGTGTGTGTAGTGTGGTACGAGGATGGAGAAAGCGATGCAAGGAGGGAAGCCTGAAAGGGACGAAGGTGGGAACGAGGGCGAGTGGGAGAGAGGTGGTCCTAAAAAAGGGATTCAACGGTGGAGGTGAAAACGATTCAACTCGCAAATGACAGTTCTACAATTGGCAGGCTGAGGTGGGGACTTTGGGGGTGTCTACAAACGATTCAGGACAAGGTCTTCATTCAATACATCTACATTTCTTCCAAGAGCACAATCTAAGTTGCGCCTGAATGTATTCCCTTGCCTTCAAAAATAGCAAACATTGTCTGAAATAGATGCGAATTGAGCAAAACAAGTCTATGCCCAGCTGCGCCCAGAAAGCCAGATGCATGAGGCAAAAAACAAAACCATGTGAAAAAAGACATGGCATGGTGTTTCAAATTAGTACACACATACCATGCCATCTTAAATATATATAATGCATCCTAACGGATAGGCCCTGGGCAAATGCGTTAGTATCCTGTAAATTGAAATATGTAGAGCAAAATGAGACATTTATAGATATGCAGGAAGATTACGGAGCGAACAAGATTGGATTTTGGTTCCATATTTGTCAGAAGTAACTAAATTTGGGATATCCATATGCTCAAGGATATGGGAATTTCTGTACCAGATATTAGGGAGTATGATTGTGAACGTTAATTCTGTGTCAATCGTATTAAGGTCCAAATAATAGAGGCGAAGCCCTACACGGACACTCAAATGGAGGGCATGAAAATTATTGTAGTGATTTATATATAATTAATAAAACTTCATTAATCAGCAAATATTCTTGTAAGATTATAGATTAGATCAACAACCACATAAACTAGCGAATACTTTATTGATGACTTACAACTTTGAGGCTACGCATTCGGTTCACCAAAAGTATGATTATGTACAGAGAACTTGTCAACATTGTTTTCTTCACAAAACAAATACACAATTTATAAATTTCTGGTCAAGGTTTCCCTAACGTAGTTACGGATCACCTCTATCACTACCAGCTGCGTAGTCAGCTAGTATAAGAGAACATATACTAGTTGTGCATGCATGAAATTCAAACGTATAATCGCGTACCTGGTGCTCCGATTTCTTTTGTTCTCAAGGTGAACTGTGCAGTCCAGCCAGATTGTACAGATGATGCCATTTGCTACTGTATCTGTCGCTCGCAGGTAAATCCGATGGTCAAATTGAAGGTCGGCTCGGCATATGTGCCTAGACTGGTCCTAAGGCTCATCCAATCAGAGGCCATGAAGCACGCACTGTCGCTGTCAGTTTGGATAGCAAATTGACTCACCAAAAGTAAATGCAGATGTGACAACCCCAAACAGCCAACTGTTTAGAAAGAAATAGAATCATTAACACACAAAAAAAAAGTTATCACTAGATAAATCTAACATGTATCCACTAGTGTGAATATATGTTTGCTGTTAGTGTGGATATCTTCTATATTCTCCAATGCCAATCAACACCCAAAATGTCTTTTGTAAGGAGAGCACGAACATTGCATCCCATGAGCAATACTACACAAGGGGTTCGATGTATTCACATCACATCCTAAGTGCCTGGGCCTAAAAAGAACGTCTCTGAAATTGTTGCCTCAATGCTTTCGGGAGTGTATACGAACAGCTTACTTGACGTCAAGTCATCCCTTCAAATATACAACGTTTGGGAAGAAAAGAAAGGCGAATGGGATGGGAAGCATAGAACGGGGAGGAAATGGTTGGAGTTACCGTACAAGAACCACAATGTCATTGTTAGCTTATGATATGATGTTATATGTTCCTGTTCTGAAAAGGCCAGCAGCATGTGGTGACATCTCTCCTGTAGTACCAACAACCACTGGGTAAACTTGCGTCATATTTACTCAAGTCAGCTGGACACACTGCCTCTTGCTCTGACCAGAAGGGAAGCAGCACCCTGCAGGATCGTTGGCGCAGCACGGTGGACCACTTGGCTCGGGTCTCCCAGATAGAAATGAGTCAACTCATGTCAACGTTAGTCAGCTGCTCACTGCCAGTCGTTTTTCACCAGAAGGGCAGCATCTTGCGGTATCGCTCGCGCAGCACGGTGGACCGCTTGGCATGGGTCATTCAAGTCAACAGCTCAAAGTCAGCTCAAGTCAACTCGAGTCAACTCAGAGCTGCACACACTTGTCACTCTCTCTCACCAGAAAGGCAGCATCTTGCGGTATCGCTCGCGCAGCACCGTGGACCACTTGGCGCGGGTCTTCCAGGTAGAAATTAGTCAACTCAAGGCAAGTCAACACAAGTCAACGCTAGTCAACTGTACACACTGCCTGTGACTCTCACCAGAAGGGCAGTAACATCTTGCGGTATCGCTCGTGCAGCACCGTGGACCACTTGGCGCGGGTCTTTCAAGTAAACTCAACTCATACCAACCTGAAGTCAACCCCGGTCAACTCGAGTCAACTCACCAGAAGGGCAGCAGCATCTTGCGGTATCGCTCGCGCAGCACAGTTGACCACTTGGCGCGGGTCTTCCTCCGCAGCTCCTCATCGGGAATGCACCACCGCCGCTGCCTCGCCACCAGTGCTTCAAACGCCACATTGAACCGCCGCAACCTGGGAGGTCGAGAGACCAGATCGGGACGTGGGATGAGGTGGGGGGTGGTGGGGGACGAGGTTAAGGGGGGAGCTCATCGGGAATGCACCACCGCCGCTGCCGTGCCACCAGCACCTCAAACGCCCCGTTGAACCGCCGCAACCTGGTAAGATGGAAGCATGGTGGGGGGTGGTGGGGGGGTGGTGGGGGGGTGGTGAGGGGTGGTGAGGGATGATCGGGGAAGGCAAGCAAAGAGGTGATGTGGGAGAGACATCGGGAATGCAGCACCGCTGCTGCCGTGCCACCAATCACTCAAACGCCCCGTTGAACCGCCTCAACCTGGGAGGGGAGATGGGATTGAGGGGAGGAACGGTTGGCTGGATGGTGGGGAATGGTGGGAGGTGGTAGACGATGGTGGTGCGGGAAGGGGTGAAGCAGGCGAGCGGTGAAGAGGAGGGGACTAGGAGGAGAGATATGGTGGGAGCCAAGAGGAGGAGAGAAGGGGAGGGAGGGAACGTGGTAAGGAAAGAGGGGGCTTACCTGTGAAGTCTGAGCTTGACAGAGTCAGGTGAGTTGCAGAGTGTGGAGTCACAGGAGCGGAAAGAAGAGGTGAGAGGAAAGAGGAAAGTTACCTGTTGAGCCTGAGCTTGACCGAGTCAGGTGAGTTGCAGAGTGTGGAGTTACAGGAGCGGAAAGAAGAGGTGAGAGGAAAGAGGAAAGTTACCTGTTGAGCCTGAGCTTGACCGAGTCAGGTGAGTTGCAGAGTGTGGAGTTACAGGAGCGGAAAGAAGAGGTGAGAGGAAAGAGGAAAGTTACCTGTTGAGCCTGAGCTTGACAGAGTCAGGTGAGTTGCAGAGTGTGGAGTCACAGGAGCGGAAAGAAGAGGTGAGAGGAAAGAGGAAAGTTACCTGTTGAGCCTGAGCTTGACAGAGTCAGGTGAGTTGCAGAGTGTGGAGTCACAGGAGCGGAAAGAAGAGGTGAGAGGAAAGAGGAAAGTTACCTGTTGAGCCTGAGCTTGACCGAGTCAGGTGAGTTGCAGAGTGTGGAGTTACAGGAGCGGAAAGAAGAGGTGAGAGGAAAGAGGAAAGTTACCTGTTGAGCCTGAGCTTGACCGAGTCAGGTGAGTTGCAGAGTGTGGAGTTACAGGAGCGGAAAGAAGAGGTGAGAGGAAAGAGGAAAGTTACCTGTTGAGCCTGAGCTTGACAGAGTCAGGTGAGTTGCAGAGTGTGGAGTCACAGGAGCGGAAAGAAGAGGTGAGAGGAAAGAGGAAAGTTACCTGTTGAGCCTGAGCTTGACAGAGTCAGGTGAGTTGCAGAGTGTGGAGTCACAGGAGCGGAAAGAAGAGGTGAGAAGAAAGAGGAAAGTTACCTGTTGAGCCTGAGCTTGACCGAGTCAGGTGTGCCTCGGGGAGGTTCATCTGTGAGTGCTGCCATGACCTGTGGAGCAATGGGGGAGTGGCAGGCAGGGAGAGAGGGAGGCCGTGAGGGTGAGAGGACGAGGTAGGAATGCAGGGAGGCAGGGAGGCAGGAAAGCAACAGGCAAGGAGGGAAAGTGTCTACACTCCCCACACTCCCCTCCCATACTCCCACCTCCTCTCTCCCCTCCCCCCTGTGCGGTGGCATGAAGGTGGAACAATATGGCCGTCCCTGAGATCCGCCATGGCTCCTTAAGCAAGCAATCACTGCAACCCCCTCCCACCCCTCAGCAACGCACCACCACCCATACTCACTCACTCCCGTCTTCCCACGGCCCACTCACCGCAGCCAGCGCGCGGCTTTGGAAGGCGGTGGCGTGCAGCTGAACGATGTGGCCGACCCTCCTCACCCCCCCTCCCCCACCCCTTTGTGGCATGCAGTAGCAAGCACTGTGAACCGCGACCTACCCCTTGGCATTCCACCACTCCCAGCAGCCAGCGCGCGACTCTGGAAGGCGGTGGCATGCAGTTGAACAATGTGGCCGTCCCTCAGAACCTCAGATGCGATGAGTGCCTTCAGTCCCCGCACTCCCCCCCACCTTCCACAACCCCCCCACATTCCCTACCTCCTCCCCCTTTCCCTCTCCCTATCCTGTCTCCCCAACCACTCACCGCAGCCAGCGCGCGGCTCTGGAAGGCTGTGGCATGCAGCTGCACAATGTGGCCGTCCCTCAGAACCGCCATGGCTGCGTAAGCAAGCAATCACTGCAACCACCTACCAGCCTTGAGCACCACACCACCACCACTATTCCCCTCGCCTGTCCCCCATTCACCACTCACAGCAGCCAGCGCGCGGCTCTGGAAGGCCGTGGCATGCAGTTGCACGATGTGGCCGTCCCTCAGATCCGCCATGGCTGCTGTCAGGTCCCTCGCGCCCTCCCTGTTTTGTGTGGGGGAGGAGGGGTGAAAGACAATCGGACAAGGAGTGGTGTGTGTGTGTGGTTGTGGGGTTGTGGTTCGTCCCTCAGGTCCGCCATGGCTGCTGTGAGATCCCTCGCGCCCTCCCTGTGGTGAGTGTGTGTGTGTGGGGGGGGGGGGGGTGGGGGGGAGAGTAGAGGGGAGGGGACAGGTTGGAAGTTTGTGCGTTGTCCCTCAGATCAGTCAAGGCTGCTGTGAGAACCCTCGCGCCCTCCCTGAGGTGTGTGCGGGTGGCGAGGGGAGGGGGCAGTTGTAAGCAAGGAGGCTTGTGACTCGACGCAAGAGGCAGCAGGGGAGATGGCAGACGGACGGATCGACACACATACGTGCAAGCAGCAAGCAGCAAGCAGCAAGGGGTGCGCGCGCTTGCTTACTTGCGAGCTTGTGAGAGCGGAGGAAGAAGCAAGCAGCAAGCAGCACGGGTGTGAGTGATCGCTTACTTGCGAGCTTGTGAGAGCGGGTGGTTCAGGCTGTCCACATGCCAGCGGTACCAGTCAGCGCTGTGGGCACAACAGGGACACAACAGGTGGGGAGGAGTTGAAGGGGCGACAGGGGGAAACGTGAACGGAGCGAGTGGGAGTGAGAGCGGGTGGTTCAGGCTGTCCACATGCCAGCGGTACCAGTCAGCGCTGTGGGCAGTGGAGCACGGCACAACGGAAGGGGGTAGACGGGTAGGAGAGGGAGAGAGGGTTAGTAAGCGTGGTTCAAGCTGTCCACGTGCCAGCGATACCAGTCAGCGCTGCGTGGGCACACGGGCACACAGGGACAAAACAGGGGGGGGGGAGGGGGGGGGGAAGAGGGAGAGGCCGATAGGGGGATATGTGTACTGCCTTTCTTTTGCTTAAGCCTAGTTTAGTCTGCATCTCGCTGGGAATATGTCTGAAGACCAGTTGGCCGATAGGGGGATATGTGAAGGGAGCGAGTGGGAGTGGGAGCGGGTGGTTCATTCAAGCTGTCCACGTGCCAGCGATACCAGTCAGCGCTGTGAGTAGTAGGGCGGAACGGAAGGGGGAAGAGGGGGTTGGTTGTGGTAGGGCACAAGGGAAGGGAGAAGAGGGGGGAAGTCAGAGAGAGGAACGGGTGTTCAGTTCAGTCTGTCAAGTTGCAGTGGTAACAATCAGCACCGAGAGCACACCTATATACATACACTGCTCCTCCTACTCACGCGCGGACTGCACGAGGTAGTGAGTGGTGTTCATGAGAAACAGGTGCTGCAGCTGCTCCTCCCAACACAAATGTATATGTGCATGTACGTGTGCATATACACCTATACATACACTACCCTGCACCTCTCACTCACGCGGACTGCACGAGGTAGTGAGTGTTGTTCATGAGGAACAGGTGCTGCAGCTCCTCCTCTCGATACAGCCCGCCCCGTGCCTCCAGATTCACCACCAGCGCGCTCAGCAGGTGCGCCGTCTCACTCTCCGCACTCCGCCCCGCGTGCTGCTGCCCACCCCGTTTCCATTTCCCATCCCCAGCCTTCCCACCGTCTTTCCCACTGTCCACCTTCCCACCCGCCGCCTTCCCGCCAGCTGCAACCTTCCCATCCCCCTTCGACTTGCTCCCTTTGCCGCCCTCCTTCTCTCCGTCCCCATCCGCCTCTTCCTCCTCCTCGTCACTCGCTGCTCCTTGTTCCTCCAGCAGGTGGAAGAGCGAGGCGAGCACATCCAGGTAGCTGTTGTGGGTGGAGGGTACGCTGGGGGGTGGAGGATGGGGGGGAGGTGGAGGGGGATACAAAGGTGGAAGGATACAAGAAGAGGGGGATTCGAGTGAGTGGCTTTGGCTCCTGCAGCAGGTGGAAGAGCGAGGCGAGCACGTCCAGGTAGCTGTTGTGGGTGGATGGGACGCTACGGGGTGGAGGGGGGTGGGGGGAAAGGAACCACGGGATGAGTGAAGCTGTGAGAGACATCAAAGGCTCCTCCAGCAGGTGGAAGAGCGAGGCGAGCACGTCCAGGTAGCTGTTGTGGGTGGATGGGACGCTGCGGGGATGGAGGATGGGGGGAGGTGGGAGGTGGGGGGGGGATACAAAGGTGGAAGGATACAAGAGTGAGGCGAGCACGTCCAGGTAGCTGTTGTGGGTCGAGTAGGGGGCAAGGTTGGTGGGGAGAGGAAGGTGAAAGGCATGGGATGCGTAAGGTTGCTACTAGATGCTCCAAGGCTCCTCCAGCAGGTGGAAGAGCGAGGCGAGCATGTCCAAGTAGCGTAGGGAAGGGCACTCTGGAGCGGCCAAGACAGAGAAAAACAAGGGCAGATGTTAACCTTTAGCCTTTGGAAGGAGATGTTCCGGACCTTGGCGAGGTTGCCGAGCGCGGAGGGGATGGGGAAGGAGCAGCAAGCAACACGCACTACCTCGTAGGTGTTTGGGGTGCATGCGTGTGGGAGTTTTGTTTGGGGTCCATACCATAGCCTCCGCCCGCCCTATCACTGCTGACAGACAGCATCGCAGTGCATGGTCTCTCTCTCCAGTCCAGCACACATGCACATGCACATGAACACAACACACAGTCGTGCATGACTTTTGAGACGTCTCAAAAGCCAGCACACATGCACATGCACATGAACACAACACACAGTCGTGCATGACTTTTGAGACGTCTCAAAAGCCAGCACACATGCACATGCACATGAACACAACACACAGTCTTGCATGACTTTTGAGACGTCTCAAAAGCCAGCACACATGCACATGCACATGAACACAACACACAGTCGTGCATGACTTTTGAGACGTCTCAAAAGCCAGCACACATGAACATGCACATGAACACAACACACAGTCGTGCATGACTTTTGAGACGTCTCAAAAGCCAGCACACATGCACATGCACATGAACACAACACACAGTCGTGCATACACACACGCATGCACACCCCAAACAACACACGCACAGACGCAGTGGCGCATGTAGCTGCGGATATAGTTGGCTACGTAGCTGGTGATTGGGTCAACTACTCCCCCCCTGTCACTGCCGGTGGCGTTACATAGCGTGGACGCGCAACTAACACACACAGAGAACACACACAGCAGCACATACCGGCGCATGTAGCTGCGAATGTAGTTGGCCACGTAGCTGGTGATGGGGACAAGCACTCCCCTCGGGCGGCAGCAAAGCGTGTGCCTCTCCAACACATGCACACATTCACTGTCGCGTGTGACCATACCACACACGCACCGGCGCATGAAGCTGCGAATGTAGTTGGCCACGTAGCTGGTGATGGGGTCCACCACTCCCCCCGGCGGCATGACGCAACCCAACCCAACACCAAAGCACATTCCCCACACAGTCTGGTACCTCATCCTATGCATCTAACCATGCCAAGGCACATACCGGCGCATGTAGCTGCGGATGTAGTTGGCCACGTAGCTGGTGATTGGGTCAACTACTCCCCCCGGCGGCATGACGTCCTGAGTGCTCTCCTCTGCTGCTGGTGATGCCGATGTGGTGCTCGCATTGCGACCCAGGAACGGCATTCTGCGGTGGAGAGGGAAGATGGAGAGGGGTGGAGAGGGATGGAGAGGGATGGAGAGGGATGGGATGAAGGAATGAAGGGCAGAAGAGAGGAGAAGAAAGGGGAAAGGCATGACGTCCTGAGTGCTCTCCTCCGCTGCTGGCGATGCTGACGTGGTGCTCGCATTGCGACCCAGGAACTGCATTCTGCGGTGGAGAGGGAAGATGGAGAGGGGTGGAGAGGGATGGAGAGGGATGGAGAGGGATGGGATGAAGGAATGAAGGGCAGAAGAGAGGAGAAGAAAGGGTAAAGGCATGACGTCCTGAGTGCTCTCCTCCGCTGCTGGCGATGCTGACGTGGTGCTCGGATTGCGACCCACGAACGGCATTCTACGGGATTGAGAGAGGGTGGAGATGGGTAAAGAAGGAAAAGCATGACGTCCTGAGTGCTCTCCTCCGCTGATGGCGGCCCCGATGTGGTGCTTGCTGTGCGGCCCAGGAACGGCATTCTGCGGTGGGAAAGGGTGGGGAGGAATGGAGAGGAATGGGATGAAGGGAATGAAGGGCAGGGGAGAGGGGAGGAAGAGGGAAATGCATGCCATCCTAAGCGCTCTCCTGTGCTGCTGGCGGGCTGATGTGGTGCTTGCTGCGCGACACAGGAACGGCATTCTGTGAAACGGGAGTGGAGTGGGTGGAGTGGGTGGAGTGGGTGGAGTGGAGAGACTGGCTGATCACCCTGCACAGCTTGAGTGGCTTGATTTCAAGATAAATGAGACAGGCTATTGCCGTTCAGGTATACGCCGCTCACATAACAGAACAGCAGTACCCACCTGAACAGCTTTGCAAGCGAAGCCTTCTTCTCCCCCTCCTCCACCCCCCGCTGCCTCCCCACCAGCCGCAGCAGCAGCACCGGAAGCAGAGGGGGAAGGCGAAGCGGAGGAGGAGGAGGAGAGGGGCGGGGCGGCAGCAGCCATGGCCTGGGCGGACTTGGTGGAGGTTTCGAGGAGGGCTTTGAAGCACCCACCCCAACAGCACTACGCACCTGAATTGAAGCACCCACCTGAACAGCTTTGCAAGCGATGGCTTCTTCTCCCCCTCCCCACCCTCTCCTCCTCCACCCCCCGCTGCCTCCCCACCACCAGTAGTAGCAGAAGCAGCAGCACCGGATGCAGAGGGGGAGGCGGAGGAGGCGGAGAGGGGCGGAGCAGCGGCAGCCATGGCTTGGGCGGACTTGGTGGAGGTTTCCAGGAGGGCTTTGAAGCGGTCAAAGGTGTCGGCCACGGCTCTTGCGATGAGGAGCGGGAGATGCTGGCAGGCCGGCCATACCGCTTCCATTTTGAGAAGGTTGATTGTGGCGGATAGCTGCATTGGGAAACCAGGAAGGGGTGGGGGCCGGCATGATTTCTTGGGCCGACTTCTTCTCGTGCGCCTCACAAGTCGACAAACATACACGCAAGCTACAAATGTAGTTTTGTTTGTTTGATTTTTTTTTGGTTTTTTTTTTCACAAAATAATATATGATAAACATGAAAAATCACGACCTACCTCTGGCATGACTTCTTGGGCAGCCCGAAAAGCATCGAGCAGCGAAAAGAGTTGCTCGGGCAGGTTGCGGGCGATGATGGCGCGGAGGATCAAGGCGTGATCTGCTATGCGCTTGCCCATGCCGCTGTCCTCCAGGATTGCCCTCAATGCCCCGCGCTCGTGCACCTGAGAAAAGCGCACAGTGCAAGGGGCACAAGAAGGGAATATGTGTCATAAGAGAACCGAGGATCAAGGCATGCTCTGCTATGCGCTTGCCCATCCCGCTGTCCTCCAGTATGGCCCTCGGCGCCCCGCGTTCATGCACCTGAGAAAAGTGTAGGTTTGAGTTGTAGGAGGGCGGGTAGTGGGGGGACGAGAGGGGAGGAGCGGGTAGAAGAAGGGAGCATGGGGGGGATAGGTGGGGTGGGGAACATCCCGCATAACACAGTGGGAACCAGATGTGATACCAGTATGTGAGAGTGAGAGGGTATGTGCCTGCCCATGTCGCTGCCTTCCAAAGTGGCTCTCACTCTCAGTGTACCACCTTCGTGCTTGCTTGCTCCCCTCACCCATACCCTCTTCTAACCCCGCCCCCAGCCATTCACCCTTCCCTCCCCCGCCCCGCTCTCTCCTCTCTCCTCTCACCTGCATGCCTCGCCACACGGCCGCTGCTGTCCTCCTCTCCATGCCCAGTAGCAGACGGCCCTGAGCAAAAGGAGGGGGGGAACGCCGAGATGGGGGAAAGAGGGGAGAAGGGGGAAGGGAACGATGGGGAACTTAGTGTGTAAGCGGGGGGAAGGAGGAGCGAGAGAGACAGAGGGGGAGGGGAGGAAAAAGGGGAAAGGGAGGGGAGCGAGGGAGAAAGTGGGGACGAGACAAGAGGGGGAGGAGAAGGAAGCTGACATCCATGGTGATGGTGGCGTTGGGAGGAGCGGATAAGGGACGCCAACACAAGCGCATTCGCAAACTAGAAAACACCCACGCACACACGCACGCACCAGGAGGTACACATCCTGAGTCCACTGCTTGCTCAGCGGCATGTCCGCGATCTGCCCTGCTGTCACCATCCATCCACCCACCATCCACCCAGCACCACACACCACCGCACACCACCACACCACCATCCCATAGCACCCACGCACCAGAATGTACATGTCCTGAGTCCACTGCTTGCTCAGCGGCTCTAGCTCCGCCCATGGCATGTCCGCGATCTGCCCTGCCGTCACCATGTTCCGAGCCAACTCCCACCCACCCAAGCACCCATCACCACCACCCAGCACCCATCACCACCCAGCACCCGCGCACCAGAATGTACATATCCTGAGTCCACTGCTTGCTGAGCGGCTCCAGCTCCGCCCATGGCCACAGCATGTTCAGAAGACCACTCACCACCCAGCACCACCCACCACCCAGCACCGCACACCACCACCCACCACCACTCCAAATCACCGCCCGCGCACCAGAATGTACATATCCTGAGTCCACTGCTTGCTGAGCGGCTCCAGCTCCGCCCATGGCATGTCTGCGATCTGCCCTGCCGTCACCATCCACGGCCTCTCAGACTCCAGCCGCTGCAGCGCCCCCTTGAGACTGTCCACTCGCACCGACCTGCACATGCGTAGGGAGTAGCGGTGCAAGAGGGGAGGGCAGAGTGGAGGGAGAAAGGGCATGTCTGCGATCTGCCCTGCTGTCACCATCCACGGCCGCTCGCTCTCCAGCCGCTGCAGCGCCCCCTTGAGGCTGTCCACTCGCACCGACCTGCATGAACGTGTGGGAACGGAGGGGTTTGAAGGGAGGGCATACGAGAGGTGGAGATGGTATGTCTGCGATCTGCCCTGCTGTCACCATCCACGGCCTCTCGCTCTCCAACCGCTGCAGTGCGCCCTTGAGGCTGTCCACCCGCACCGACCTGCATGAACGTGTGAGGTGGGGGAGATGAGTAAGAGGGGCGGCAGAGTAGAGGGAGAAAGGTCATGTCTGCGATCTGCCCTGCTGTGACCATCCAAGGCCTCTCGTTCTCCAGCCGCTGCAGTGCGCCCTTGAGGCTGTCCACTCGCACGGACCTGCATGAACGTGTGAGAAAGGAAGGGAAAGAAGCACCGTATCCATCTGTAGGGATTTTTTGAGAATTCTAAAAAACTCCCTGAAAGGAAGGGAAAGAAGCACCGTATCCATCAGTATGCAGTCAACTGAGTCCACACCACATGAGCCAATCAGCCGGCCCCACATGAGCACATGAGTTCATCTCCATCCATCCACCTGAAAGCCCACCTGAGATCAACCAAATCCACCTGAGCCCACCTGAAGGCCTCCACACAGCGCACACTCTCCCCTCCCGCCACCAGCCTGGCGGCCGTCTGGTTCAGCCACCGGGCGGCGATTTCCGGCAGCACATGCAGCGAATCGGCATCCTCCAACTCCCCCTCATCCAAACCCCCCATCCCCTCCCCGCCAACACCACCTTCCCCTCCCCCCCCTCCACCCGCTCCCCCGCCTCCCACTCCCCCTGTGCTGTTCCTGCTGCTGCTAGCGCTGGTACCCCCTGTCACGCCGCTCTCAGGGGAGCTGCTGCTGGTGCTGACGCTGCTGGTTGCGGCAGCAGCTGCAGCAGCGGTGGTGGTGGTGGCGGCAGGGGGGTAGAAGTTGCGGTGGAAGATGCGAGAGAGAGTGTCGACTGTGAATCGCGTGGATGCCTGCTGGCTGGTGTGGGGGTAAAGGGGAAAGGGGAGGGTGACGCGCAACATAAAGGAAATAAGGGGTTCATGACATGACACAAGACAGTAGCAGCAGCAGCAGCAGCAGGAGCAGCATAACACCTCACCTCCGTCTCGACAGAACGCCCCTGAATTCGTACTCCAGGCCCTCCATCCACAGGAGGCAAGAGATCAACGGATCTCGCATCCGTCAAACGGCAGTTCTACCTCCCCCTCAGCATAACATCTCACCTCCGTCTCGAGAGAATGTCTCTGAACTCGTACTCCAGGTCCTCCATGGCCCGCTGAAGCATGCCTTGTCTGACAAGAGGTTAAAGAACCTGCAGGTTAAAGAGCCTCCGTCTGGCCGACCTGCATCTGAGCAGAGCACAGACGCACAGTGCCTCACCTCCGCCTCGACAGAATGTCTCTGAACTCGTACTCCAGATCCTCCATGGCCCGCCGGAGCATGCCTTGTGTTGTGTTGTGATGAAAGAGCCTCTGTCTGAGCAACACACAGCACTCCTCACCTCCGTCTCGACAGAATGTCTCTAAACTCGTACTCCAGGTCCTCCATAGCCCGCCCAGCATGTCCTGTTGTGACAAAAGAGTTTTTGCCTGACATGCCTTGGCAAAGCCTCACCTCCGTCTCGACAGAATGTCTCTGAACTCGTACTCCAGATCCTCCATAGCCCGCCGAAGCATGCCGTGCTGTGGGATTGGTTTGTGGCATGCTGCTGCTGTGGGTGGGCTGGCCCTGCTAATGACATACGGAGCTCCTCACCTCCGCCTCGACAGAATGTCTCTAAACTCATACTCCAGGTCCTCCATAGCCCGCCGGAGCATGCCGTCCGCGCGCCGCCCAGTCTCCTTGTCGCGCGCCTCCAGCAGCAGCGCTCGCACGCTGAGCAGCAGATCAATGGCAGGCAGGTACTCGTCCAGCTTGCAGTGCGGCCCCTCCTCTATGAACGCGTCCATCTGTGAGGAAGAGAGAAAGGGGAGTGGGCTCAGGGGATCGTATTTTATAGGGCCTCCAGCAGCAGCACCCTCACGTTGAGTAGCAGCGCCCTGACGCTGAGCAGCAGGTGGATGGCCGGCAGGTACTCGTCCAGCTTGCAGTGCGGCCCCTCCTCTATGAACGCGTCCATCTGGGGGAGAAGAGACGGGAGGGGAAATGTGGGGGACTCGTGATGAATGGAGAGGCTTGGTCAAGACAGCAGCAGCGCCCTGACGCTGAGCAGCAGATCAATGGCCGGCAGGTACTCGTCCAGCTTGCAGTGCGGCCCCTCCTCTATGAACGCGTCCATCTGGGTTGAGGTACAGAGGGTATGAAAAGAGAGTGGGAAATAAGGAGAGGCATGGGCAGGAATGCGCTCAGCAGCAGCAGGTCGATGGGTGAGTGGCTGGCAGGTACTCGTCCAGCTTGCAGTGCGCCCCCTCCTCTATGAACGCGTCCATCTGGGAGTCGGCGGGATGGGGAGGAAGAAGAGAGGAAAGAAATAAGGGCGTGCGGAGCCACTGAGCACTCCACACACCACACCACACCACACCACACTCACTCAGCAGTAGCAGGCGACTCAGAAGTTGCTTCACTGAGAGCAAGAGCTTGATGGCTTTTGAGGCGCCTCAAAAGTCGTCAAGAGCTTGATAGCAGGCAGGTACCTGCTTTAGGGATTTCCTGCTTTAGGAAGTACCTGGTTTAGCAAGTACCTGCTTTGGGAAGTACCTGCTTTAGCAAGTACCTGCTTTAGCAAGTACCTGCTTTAGCAAGTACCTGCTTTAGCAAGTACCTGCTTTAGCAAGTACCTGCTTTAGCAAGTACCTGCTTTGGGAAGTACCTGCTTTAGCAAGTACCTGCTTTAGCAAGTACCTGCTTTAGCAAGTACCTGCTTTAGCAAGTACCTGCTTTAGCAAGTACATGCTTTAGCAAGTACCTGCTTTAGCAAGTACCTGCTTTAGCAAGTACCTGCTTTAGCAAGTACCTGCTTTAGCAAGTACCTGCTTTAGCAAGTACCTGCTTTAGCAAGTACCTGGTCAAGTAGTGGATACCTGATCCAGCAGCTCCACCACTCGTCGCCTTGAGATGGGTTCATCCCCCAACACCTTTGACTCGTAATACACATCATCATCCTCCTCCCCTTCCCCTTCCTCCTCCTCTTCCTCTTCCTCGTCCTCCTCCTCTTCCTCCTCTTCTTCCTCCACTTCTTCCTCCTCCTCTTCTTCCTCTTCCTCCTCTTCCTCCTCCTCTTCTCCTTCTGAAAACTCCTCCCCTTCACTATGCGTTTCTCGCACCCACCCCTCCTCATACCCCCCTCCACTTGCACCACTCTCCCCCCCACCTCCCCTACTCCCCCTCCTGCTCCCGCCACTGCTGCTGCCGCCACTGCTATCCCTCCTGCTTCGCCTGCCTGTAGCTGCCACAGCCGAGTCTCTTGGTCCGCCAGGGGTGGACTGGGACTTGGGGAAAGCCGCTGCTGCTGCAGCCGCACTAGAGCTGCCGCCTCTTGGGTTACCTGCGCGCCTGCTACCCCCAATAGGGTTACCACCATAACCACCCACTGCCATTCCTGCTGCTGCTGGTGGTGGTGACGTGTGGTGGTGGTATTGGTGCTGCTGCTGCTGCTTCTGGTGATACGACTCCCCACCAGAACCCATGCGCCAACCCTGCTGTCCCGGTTCGGACGCCTCCGAGCCATACGGATACTCCTCTGCCAAGCCTAGCACCGAGGCTTGGTACAGGGACCCTTGAGGGGAGCCCACAGGTGAAATCTCAGGTGAATCCACAGGTGTTCTCAACGGAGTGCGGTTGCTGGGACGGACAGCAGGCAGCGACACCCTACCAGGCCCTCCCATCACAGCCCCAGCCACCACCATCAGGGGAAGTGAGGATGCATCGAAACTCTCACCCCTTTCTCCCCCTCCCCCTCCTGCGGCCCCTCCTGCGCCCCCTCTTCCCCCGGCCTGCCCCCCTGCTCCTGCTGCTCCTGCTGTTCTAAAAGAGAACCCATCAGGAGAGGAAGGGGAAAGCTGATCAGAATAGGGATAGGCCTGCTGCTGCTGCTGGTGGTGGTGGTGGTGCTGGGCAGAAGGAGAGTATTCCTGCTCTTCCAAACCTCTGTAGCTTGGAGACATGTCCGGCGTCTGGTTCGGCGAGTGCTCCGGGGTTTGGTCCGGGGTTTGGTCCGGGGTTAGGTTCGGGGACCGGTTGGACGAATGGTGAGAGGAGCGCACAGGAGATGATTGGCCAGGGGAACTGATGGGAGAGTGGTCCGACAGCCGGTCCGGGGATCGGTGAGAGGATCGGACAGGAGACCGCTCAGGAGATTGTTCAGGTGAATGTTCAGGCGAGGAATCTGTTGGCAACAAATCGGACTCTCCCCGGCCACCTCTGTTCCCCCTATTGCCCGACCCGCTAAGGTAAACACCCACCTCGTCAACCACAGGAACGCCTATACTCCCTGCTCCTGACCTTCTTCCCCCATTCGACCCTCCTGCCTTCCTGCTTCCCCCATGCGCCCCCCCTCTATAGTCATCCTCGTAGGGCTCTCTCGCCTCGTGGTGGTCACGCCCCCTACTGGAACGCTTGCTTGAGTCACTCTTGGTGCTCGACGTACGGCTGGCGTGCCTCTGTGGGAGGGGGGAACGCGGGGGGAGGGGGGAAAAAGGGCGGAAGGGGGAGAAAGGAGGGAGGGGGGAACGTAAGTGACTCTGAGTCGACTCAAAAGTCACTCTTGGTGCTTGCTGTGCGGCTGGCGTGCCTCTGTGGGTGGGAGGGGGGGAGGAGGAGAGAGGGGAGTGGGGAGAGCGGGGAGTGGTGAGGGGAAGTGCTAAGGATCAGACGAACGGGGTGTGCAGTGCAGTGCGGTGCAATGCATTTGGCTCCTCACATGTGCATCAGTGTCACTTGGCGCGTGTTGGTGCGTGCTGCTGCTGCTGCTCACCTGATTTGCGACCACAAGCACCCGCGCGGCTCACCTGCAAGACGTCTCAAAAGTCTCAAGCCTTTGAGACGTTTCACATCACAAGCACCCGCGCGGCTCACCTGCGAGACGTCTCAAAAGTCTCAAGCCTTTGAGACGTGTCACAACACAAGCACCCGCGCGGCTCACCTGCGATCCGCGCTCCTCCATTGACGAGCACGACGGCACGCCGTGCCTGCCGGAACTCCTCCCCTCCTTCCCTGCTTCTCCATGCCTCCTCTCCCTCTCCCTCTCCCTCTCTCTCTCCCTCTCCCTCTCCCTCTCTCTGTCCCTGTCCTTGGGTCGATCCCGCTCCTTCTCTCTTCGGCCTTCCCTCTCTCTTTCCCTCTCTCCGTCCCTGCCTCTCTCCCGCTCCCGCACTCTATCGCTCTTCCGTTCCCTATCCTTATCCTTCACCTCATAGTCCCTATCCCTGCCTCGCTCCCGTTCCCTATCCTTATCTCTGTCCCGCCTTTCCCGATCCTTCCCTTCTCTCTCCCTCCGTTCCCTGTCCCGACTACCGTCGCGATCCCCCTCAAATCGGTCTACCTTTTCTCTCGTCCTCTCCCGTTCCTTATCCCTATCCCTGTCCCTGTCCCTGTCCCTGTCTTTATCTCCATCGCGATAACGATCCCTATCCTTAACTTTATCTTTAGAGTCTCTATCTCTCAGCCTTTCGCGCTCTCTCTCTTCGTCCCTGTCTCTATCGCGGCTGCCGCTACTTCTCCTATAATCCTTATCCCTATCCCTATCCTTAGCTCTATCCCTGTCCCTATCCCTGTCCCTGTGTCTATCTCTGTCCCTGTCCTTATCCCTAACTCGATCCCTATCCCTGTCCCTATCCCTATCCTTTCCGCGACCGCTTTCGCTAGACCTTTCGCTCGACTTATCACTGATAGGCCCAGTCACTCGCCCGGCCTTGTCCTTGCTGTCTCGCGTCCGTCCCGCTTTTCCGTGACTCCCAGATACCGGCGGTCGCACGTCCCATGCTTCCGGCGAAACGTCGCCATCGTCGTCGTCGTCGTCGTAACGGTCCATGGTAACCCTAAGGTAGTAAACCTTACTTTCACTGGTTCTCGAAAAATAGCATAATTTTTTTCAAAAGCTGACGGTGGTTGCTCTTAAATAAATACGTATCGGTTACGAGAGTTTAATGTACGCAACGCGAAAGACGCGGTTTTAGAGACGTGGGCCAAAAGATGCAAGACAATGCTGCGTTCTTGCATTACTTAAGCGCGTCGAAATGCGCAAAACTTAAACTCGTGCCGTATCATACTCTTAAACGTTAAAAATACTCTTTAAGCGCTCGTGTTGGTGCTCGTAGGTCTTCAGTGTGTGACAAAAACTAATAGCTGCATGGTACTAATAACTAATAGCTTTTCTCGACCAATGTGCTATCCCAGTGTCACACAATCCAAAAACCGCTCGTGCTCGTCCAGCATTGCCCAAGCTATTCTTGTTCGTACAACAGCAGTATGGCCTAGACTAGTGCGAGGGTGCGTTCCTGGCTCGTGTCAAACTTCCGGTCTTCCGGGGCTGACACGAAGCTGGCCCCACTTCGGGTCATCCGAGACCAACTTCGGGTCTTCCCCCTAAGTTTTGCCTCTGTTTTTGGAAGACTCGAAGTTTGACAGGAAGTTTGACCTAAACCTTCGGGTCTTCCCGGGAAGACCGGAAGTTTGACACGAGCCAGGAACACACCCTGAGTTTCTGCTCAACACAACCTCTATTGTTCGGCATGGCGTTTTCTTCGCCTCGTAAACCTTGAGATGTACGGGTTGCTTCTGCTGCTTTTTGAAAAGCAGCCATTCGTGGAGCTGGTTCTGTGCGCCAGATACGGCCTTTTTTTCACACCTTCCACTAGGATGAGGTACTGAAATCGGGGTCACTCGGCTCTTATGTAATTTTGTGTATTGTTTTTCTCAGGGTAGCTGGCAACGTAGCTCCTCTCAGCGGAAAAAAACAAACAATCATTTCAGTTACTTGGAGAGTAGGCTCGAAAACCCGATGATTCGATTGAACGATACCCGATGCGCAGGGTGTTCGGAAATTATAAATCCGGACCGAGGACCGTAACGGCTATTCCTCCTGCGTTACAAATTCCGTGCCTGATAATGCAAACCACTTTTGATCAGGAAACCATGTTTTTCTACAGAGTACCGTAGGATTTCTAAGAGGGAAACAGAATTTGAGAACACAGGCGCAGCAGGCACATCATCAAATGCAAACAGCTTTAGTAGAGCAATCCCCATACTAGAACATTAGGTGTCCACAATTTACGATTATCTCATGACCTGCTGAAGAAACCACCAGCGGACGTATTGTCTGCTCTAAGCGTGTGGCTCACCCCACCCACAGCCGCACCACACTCAGGGCACCGCGACTCCTGCATTGCCATACCGCAATCCCCAATCACATACACATGCCCATTGGGGCATCGGTACCAATGACCCCTTCCCATGCCTATCGCCTCGTACACATCAGCCTTCTCGCGTTCGGTCACATCAAAGTACCGAGGTTCGTCGCGAACAGATTGTTCCAGCTCACGCAAGTCTTTCTCAAGCATTCTCCAAGCGCTGCCCCCAAGGCTGTCGTTCTCTCTCACTGACACCAGATGGTGCGAGGCCACCATGTGGCACTGCATCTTGGCCTTCTCGAGATACTCCAGCTGCTGCTCCTTTGAGTCATCCTGCCAAAAAAGGTGCACAGGGAACCCAACATGTGACATCAAGCTCATAAAGCTAAACCAAAAAAAGGGGGGGGAGGGGAGGGGAAGAAGTGGGGGGAAGGGAGGAGGGAAGAGGTGGAATGGAGAATTGGTGGTAGGGTGGAATGGAGAGACGATGAGGGGAGGTGGCAGTGAGGCAGACAAGGGTAAGAGCAGAGCAGCGTTCTCACCAGGCCAGCCGGGGAGGTCGAGAGCAGGCGTTCCACCATCATCCCCTCCACAAACGCACGGAACACATCAGCCATCTCCAGCCTCCCCTTCGCCTCCAGCCGAGGCGCCCTGCGCTTCCCCGCCCACTCCACCGCCTCCCCCACATGCTTCTCTGCGTTCCGCAGCGCCTTCCGCACAACCTCCCGGCAACTCTTCAACTTCCGAGCCAGAAACTCCTCCCTACCCGCGCTGTTCTTATCAATCTGGCCAGCAGCCAGACCAGCAGCCTGAGCAGCAGTCAGCCCAGCAGCTCGAACAGCAGTCTGGCGAGACAGCTTGCGGAGTTCAGTCAGCAGGCAGCGCAGCTGGAGGAAATTGGCAGTCATGAGCAGTTGGTAGGCCTTCCCCAGCAGCAGGAGGGCTTCACAGAGGGGCCCGGTTTGTGGCTGGGGGACGTACAGCAGCTGGCACTCCTCCTCCCATGCTGACGCCGACAAACCTGCAGGAGAATCTGCAGGAGAATCTTCAGGTGCAGCTGCAGGTGCCTCTTCAGGTGCAGCTGCAGCATCTGCTCCAGAGGACGACGACGACGCTCCCAAATGGAGATGCTTCCTCTGCAGAGCAGCAACCGAAGCCTGGTAGGTCTGCTGGGTGGGCGGTTCCATAGCCGTCACTCGCACCTTGTTTGCCTGCACAACCAGTGAAGTCGCAGCTTTAGCCAGCTCCTGCAACTGCCTGGGTTGAGCAGCCTCAGGGCAAGCGGATATAGCTTGGCTCAGCTTGGGCAGCTTTGTCTGGAGCTGCTGCTGGTCGGCCAGGCAGCTGAGGGCGAACTTGCGCTCTGATTCGTCCAGCAGAGCCTTGTTCACCATCCGGCCGTACCGGCGGAGGCCTGTGATTGGTTGGCGGCACTCGGGGCAGCCCTTGAGGGCGGACAGACTGCCATCGTCGAACGGCCGCACTGCCACCCACTTACCTGCAGCAGCTTCCGATGCACCTCCTGCCCCACCTTCAGCCCCACCTCCCACCCCGCCTCCAGCCCCGCATCCAGCAGCACTGCTGCCACCAGCAGACCCATCATCATCTTCTTCTGACTCTTGGTAAACCTGGTTCAGACCCAGGTGGCCGTCTAGAGTCTCCACAGTGTAAGCATGCCCGCACAGCAGCACCAGCACGGGACTCTCATCTGGATCAATCTCCCCTAGAGTTTCCAGAGTGACTAGATCCACAGTCATATCCCTCTTCTCCTCCTCCCCACACCCTTCAACCGTGCAGAACCCCTTCGGAGGGCATTT